TTCTAAGACTTTTTACCAGACAAATACAATAAATTTTCCTAAAGTTTGAGTACATACGTGAATGTAAGTCTTCTGACTTGTTCTGATATTCCATTCAATGAATTGCCTTTGAGACTCTTATCTTAGAGCTATGTGGTCAAGAATGTCACACAGGTCAGCTCTCCCTCTAGACTTTTGTCTCTTAGTCAGAGGAAGTTCCAGTCTTCCAGTTATCCAGGCTTGAAACAATGGAGTCAGTGGGGACTCATATTTCACCCTCTTCTCTCTATGTAGTCAGTTAACTTTCCTGTGTTAATCCTTAGACAATTCCCTTATATCTGTTTATAGGGCCCTGGTCCCTATCACACTTTAGGCCCATGTCTTCTCACAATGGCTTTACCGCAGTAACCTTCAAATTGTGTCTTTTGCCTTTAGACTTACAAGTGTGGTATTTGAGTCTTCAGCTGTGGTGACAGCATTTGCTGAGACCTACTCTGTCCTAGATATTTGTATATATTATTCTCATAAAAACCCCTACAAGGGAAATAAGAAAAATAAGTTCACTGAATACTCTGTTCAAGATTATACAGCTAGTGAAGGACAGAACCAGCAAGATTAAGACCTAGGCCTAAGTGGCCCATTTATAAGTACGAAAAAGATAACAGATAAAATTTAATTTTTTTCACATTTATTATTTTTGAGAGAGGGAGAGAGAGACAGAGCGTGAGTTGGGGAGGGGCAGAGAAAGAGGGAGACACAGAATCCGAAGCAGGCTTCAGGTTCTGAGCTGTCAGCACAGAACCTGACAAGGAGCTCAAATTCACAAACTGTGAGATCATGACCTGAGCTGAAGTCGGACGCTCAACTGACTGAGCCATCCAGACGCCCCATACCAGATAAAATTTTAAAGTTCTGCATTTGTCTAGGGAAAAAAAGAGGGAGACATTACAACATTTGAGATAACAGGCAAATGCTTTTAAATACTTAGGGACTTTTATTGTACTTGCATTATTTTCTTTTCACGGCTATTCTAATTGTCATTATTTTAAGTACATTTATCATCTTGGATTAAAGTTCTGTTTGCTATATTTATAAAATGATGACTCCAATTTTAAAAGATACTTGAGTGGCTCTTTGGTTGCCTTTAAGGTCTTGAAGATTATTTGTTCATTTCATGTGCCTGACATACATACTGACAGACAAAGCAGACTCAGTAACTGTTGGCTGGTTGAGTGAACGAATAACAATGAGCACTTTCAACTTTTACAATTAAATGTGCACTCATTTAACAAACTCATAAAGTAGGTTGCATTATCATGTCCATTTTACAATGAGGACACCAAGACACACTACTTGCCCAAGTTCACATACTCTATTACTGGTGGAGCATGGATTACAAGCAGAGATTGAGGCAACTCACTCTCAAGTCCCTGCATTAAAACATATTAGTATCCTGGGGCGCCTGGGTGGCTCAGTTGGTTAAGCGTCCGACTTCGGCTCAGGTCATGATCACATGGTTTGTGGGTTCGAGCCCCGCGTCGGGCTCTGTGCTGACAGCTAGCTCAGAGCCTGGAGCCTGCTTCCGATTCTGTGTCTCCCTCTGTCTCTGACCCTCGCCTGTTCATGCTGTTTCTCTCTCTCTCTCTCTCTCTCTCAGAAATAAATAAAAAATATTTTTAAAAAAACCCAAAAAACAACAACAAAAAAACATATTAGTATCCTGCTTCTTGGCTCATGGAAGAGCTACATCATTCAGGTTGTTAGTAGAATAGTATATGCATCTTGATGGTTCACATTTTAAGAGGTAAGGCAAGGGTCCTCCTTTGCCTTGGATGTTTGGACCCGTGGTCCATGGACAGGCCTTAGGGGCCCATGAAATTTGATTAAAGTTTGTGTGTCCCCAGAAATGCATATTTCCCTGGGGGCAAAGACCCATACCTCTCATCAAATTCTTGAAGAATTTTGTAATATCTAAAAGATTAATAACCATGGACATAAAGAAATATTTGGGATTTTCTTGAGACAAAATTAAAATTATTAAATGCTCAAAGATACTTGCAGGTCAGTTTATTTGAAGGATTGTCTACATTTTATCTCTGCAAAGGAAATTTTGGTTAGGGGAGTATAAATTTATATTAGACACAACTAACTGCCAGGTATTAAACATACACTAGCATATCTTAATTCTTGTACCCTTACCAAAAAGATACTGTTTTACAAAAGTAGAAACTGAAGCTTAGAAATGGTAAGACACATGCCTGATAACATATACTGATAAATGGTAGGACTGGAGCATGCAGACCTAACTCTGAAGCCAATATCACCTCACTTTGTGGTTAGACATAGCTGCTAAATGCGAAGGGCATTTGGTACAACTAACCTTGCTGGAGGAGGTCTTTTTAGTGGTTTCCTTGCAACCCTGCCTAGAAATAGAGTCTGTTTTATGGTGTCTTAAGTCCATTTTGAAGGACAGGAGTTCAGTCTGGCTTTAGGATCATGTCTCATGTGGTCTCACGTGTCATTCACATCCCTACATTTCTGTTCTCTGGGGCTCCCGTGTAGGCAAGTCTGCCACAGCTGCAGGGTGTCTGAACCACTGCCCTGGCTGACTGGTTACAGCACACTTCAGGCTTCTCATGGCCACTCACCTACTCTTCCCATCTCTGTTGTCCATTTGAATAAATGAACAGTCCTCCTCCTACTGCAGCTGCAATGGAGTTTGCAACATCCTTGAAACACAAAACAGGAACTGTGGTGGTTTGTTTCCTTGATCTGCTACGCAATGTTTTTCTCCTTGACTGGTGACTTTCATTCCACCACCCAGCTTGCCTGAAAATCTCCCTATGCAAAACCACTTGCTGGTCCAGCACCACAAGTCACAGATGGGGCTTTGAGATCTCTTGAAAGCTTTTCTGGTCTCATAGAGTAGCCTATACCACCTGCTCAGCAGGGTTATAGAGAAGTAGATACGGCCATCCTCCAGTGTACTCTTGTAACAGGGTCGGGGGAAAGACTGCTTGGATGGAGTGTTTCTCCAGCTTTGGGGAGAAGTGGATCCTCAGTAGAGGCTGGCTTAGCTCCCGGAAATTCTCACAGCCTCTGCTCCAAGAAACCTACTCTAGCAGTGCTGAATATCCATTGACTGGATTAGGATGATCTCATGGCTATTTTCCTTCATCTAGCTGGAACAGGCTCCCCGGGGGACGAGAGTGGAGATAGATCAGAAGAGGATGTTTGGAGCCAGGATCACTGTGGTAGCAGAAGGAATTAGTGAGGATTTGTCTTAAGTAGAAAATCATTCCATATAACACTGAGGAAAACTGAAACAGAAACCTCATACTTCACACTACAAATGGATGCTTTGCTTTACAAAAGATAAATCCAGTTTTCTTTAAATTGTGAGTTATCTCTTCTAACATTCTAAATGATTCTATTGTTTTCCTAAAAGGAAAAAAAAAACTTTTTCCAAAGACCATTTATATTTTATTTTATTGTCAAAATGTATATAGATTGTTCCCTAGGACTACCATAAGAAAGTACTACAATTGGGTGACTTAACAACACAACAACCAGAAATTCAGTATCTCCCAGTTCTGGAGGCTAGAAATCTTAAATAAAGGTGTCAGCTTGGCCATGTTCCCTCTGAAACCTGTAGGGGAATCTTTCCTTGCCTCTTTCCAGCTTCTGGGGGTGTAGTGGCAATCTTCAGCACTCCTACGCTTGCAGATGTATCACTCCAGTCCTCTGTCTTCACATGGCATTCTCCCTGGGCATCTCTTAACATAGTCTTCTTTCCGTGCATGTCTGTGTCTGTGAATTCCACCTTTGGATCAGGACAGGTGGATTGGAGCCTAATAGCCTCATTTTAATTTGACTACATCTGTAAATACCCCATTAGGTCACATTTTGAGGTATATTTAGGGTTAGGATTTCAACATATTTTTTGGAGGGAGGGACACAATTCAACCCATCATAATATCTAAAAATGCTATTATATGAAAGCATACGACATTTTAAAAATACAGTTATGTATATATATTTTTAAATATTTTTATTTATTTCTAGGAGAGAGAGAGAAACAGCCGTGAGCAGGGGAGGGTCAGAGAGAGAGGGTGTCACAGACTCTGAAACAGGCTCCAGGCTCTGAGCTGGCAGTCAGCACAGAGCCCGACGCGGGGCTCGAGAACCGCGAGATCATGACCTAAGCGAAAGTCGGACGCTTAACCGACTAAGCTACCCAGGCGCCCCAAAAATACAGTTATATTTACAAGTGGGTCTGTGTGTTACTCTGAAATATTGCCATCTAGCCTTTCAAAATCTTTTCAGAGATTGCTATCTTATTCAGTGATCAAGTGTATTCCTCACTTAATTATTAGATTTATCTTAATTAGCTACCTTATCATTTAAGTGCTGTCTAAAAAGTACACAGTAGAATAAAAAGCTTTGATATGACAAGATATATTACATTTCTGGGATGATCTAAGGCCTTGGATGTGACTGTTCATAATGGTATCTATTTTATTCCTTAGTGTTCATCAATATCTGCTTTTCTGCCCTTGTTCTGTGGGTTGTTTCCCTAGGCTTTTAATCTAGTTTTGCTCTCATCCTACTTTGAACCTCAAATCAAGCTTAGGGTCCACTTAATAGACATGCAGATCAAAGAGGTATAATCAAAGAGGGTATAGCAAAGCTAACAACCTAATCATGGACAAGAACTTCTAGAAAGTTCATATCTGTATACATTTCCCGTGGCTGGGAACACTCAGAAAAAGGAATATTACATCCCCTTAACCTGTACTTATAAATAAATATTGTACATTATCTATATTGTATTTTCTACACATTAAAAGTTCAACCAAGGCATAATTGTCAAGCACTGGCAGTAGACATTACAGCAGTGTACCAGTGACCATTGTGATGGCCCAAATTTCCAGCAGCTTTGTTTTAATCTGAGAGTATTATTTTCTTATTTTGAAAATAGAATATTATTTTCTTATATGACTAAAAAGACTTTACACCTGTTTCTTTTAAATAAAGACATTTATTTGGAGAATTTTAATAGCATGATAATGCAACCTCACCAAATATTCACAGTTCATCGGATCAGACAATAGAACAAGTCTGCATGAGCTTCTTATAAAGAAATGGATGACCACCTCAATAGCTGCCTCCAATCTTCTGTCTTATTACTGGATGATTCATAATCCAAAATAATGAAGTTCTGGGGCTTTTTTTCAAAAGTAGAAATAGGAAAATGTCTGAAGCAATGATGTTGACCTTGTTTTCAAGAAATTTATGAAACTTTAACTGCATATTTCAGTCTTGTCGAATCTTTTGTATTATTCTGACTGTCGATAAGAACCAACGGGCTATGTTGATGATTCTTGATAATTTCAGCAACACTTCCGAAGTACTAGAGTAAGAAAACATAGATGAATTAAACACTGGAATTTATGTTTTACTTTGAGCTCTGCTCCTCCCATCTCCCACTTTCTCAAGGTTAGTCAAAGTTACTAGGTCTCAGCTGACATTCTACCCCAAAAGTCTAATTTACCAAAAGGGTGTAACCCTTGAAGTGGCAGACTCTGGCCTTTCTTATATTCGGTAACACTAAAAACATTGGCAGCCTAAATTAGTGTAACCCCTTAGAGAAATTACTTCATTGGGTTATGATGCAATATTTTAATAGTTTTTTATTGAGTAACAAGTGTAAAGCTGTCACACACCGAATTTCTCTACATTCTTTACAAAGCATAGATTATCTGTTATGTTTTATAAATCTTAGATACAAGGACTGATGTAATAAATTAACCCTAGAATTTGGTGTTAGAAGAGTTATTTCCCAGATTAATTCATGTTTGTTTTGTTTTTGTTCTCCTTTTTGAATAAAGAAAACTTTATAAACTCTCGTATTTCCAGCTTTGTTCTAGTTCCTAGAGCTAATTAATAACTAGTTTAGAGGTAATTACTAATGTAATCCATGCCAGGCTCTTACCACACATATTTATTTTCCTAAATGTTAATTCCTATTGTCTATGGATTTTAAACTAATCCTCTGAAAAATTATCAGTAGTTTAAAGGAACATAAAATAAATTTAACAGAACAGGAAATGAAATGCATTGATTATACAAAAGTGCTATGAGCTCACAATCATAAATAAATGCATTTAGAGTCATTTAAAAAAAGTAGTTATTGTTTTGTCACACTGCCATAAATTTAGTAATTATTACCAACTGATTTTATTGTATTTTAATTTTTCATATAAAGACAAACATCCTGAATTAAAATTTTTTTAATGATTTGAATACCTTCTAAATATATATTGAATAAAGTATTCAGAATACTGGTCAATTTTTTCAAATGAAATACTAGTTGTCTTTTAGATAATTGGTTATCTGAATATTAGGTCAGGGAGGAGAGGTAAGAGACAGAGACAGGACCTTCAAATATCTTCAGTTTTTATTTCTTAGCTTTCTCTTCAATCATTCAACTCTTTTGCAACTGCCAATGAAATTCAATGACATTCAAAAAGACATTCATTCTGTTTATTTGGCACAGCACGTTGTTAAACTGAATGCAGTTGGAAGTTAAGTTGATGGACTAAAGAACCAGGAAATGGAATAGCACACAATCTCTTTGAAGTGGATGCCAAATGAAAAAAGTGTGTTCTGAACACAGTAAACATAGGAGAGAGTTGCTATACCTACACAAACAAACATTTCGGTCTGTCATTCAAGTCCCTGAATATTTTTGAGTATTTCTTTGTTGGAGTGTTTGGGCACTGAAAGGTTTGAAATACAGAGTTGAGCTGAGTTGAAATGTGTGAAGTAGGGAGCAGGTTGAAGTTGAAGCATATTGGATGTAGAATTGAGCATAACTTAGTTGCAATTTCCCTTAAGTGCTTTTTTTAAAAAAGTCTACAATAATTCATTGTATTTGAGATATTCATACATGGAAAGAAAAAAACCTGTTTGATAACTGAAAATCCCATTGTTCATAAAATAAAGTAAATAGATACCAAAGCTATAAAATTACCCAATACTGTATCTACATAATGCCAAAACAACTGCATAAAATAGTTGAACAGTTAATCAATTGGTTTCTTTTTCTACTCAAATACAGGAAAATAGACTTTTCACAATATCCACATGATTGACATCACGTAACAAAAGTTTTAATTTTCCATTAAGATGTTCAGTATATGGGAGAAACAACCTTTTCCTTATAGATAACTTAAGAGTTTTAATGGACTCTGTCAGCACTTCCAAATACCATTATAATAATATGCTCTTCTTTTTTTTTTTTTTGGTATCTATATGGTGGATATGTAGGTAGTGATAGTGATAAAGACTTTTTTGGCCAAAGGAATCACTACTTACCAGAGTTTCCTTAGCAGAACAAGAGAGTCCAGAGTCCCTCTGAGAGCTCAAAATTTATGAGAATTTCAGGACCTCTAAACAGGACAGCTCCCTCACCTACCTTTAACCCTCTTATAGAAGTATTGGACCATGGCCTGGGGAGGCTTTAGAATAAAACATGGAAAGAGCCTAAGTGTCCATCAACAGATGAATGGATCAGGAAGATGTGGTTTATCTATACCATGGAATACTACATGGCAATGAGAAACAATGAAATCTGGCCATGTGTAGCAACATGGATGGACCTTGAGGGTGTTATGCTGAGCGAAATAAGTCAGGCAGAGAAGGACAAATATCACATGTTTGCACGTATAGGATTAGGAGGAACTTGATGGAGGAACAAGGGGGAGAAGAAGGGAGGAAATGGTGGGTGAAAGGGAGAGAGGCAAACCATGAGAGACTCTTGAATGCTGACAAAAACTGAGGACTGATGGATGTGGGGGGGAGGAGGGATGGGCATGGAGGAGGGCACTTGTGGGGATGAGCACTGAGTGTTACGTGGAAACTAATCTGACAATAAACTATTTGTAAAAAAAAAAAAAAGAATAAAACCATCCATTCAATGTCACTCTGTCCTCCTACTAGGATCACCACTATCTGCTACCAGTGATTACTACTGAAGAGCATCTATTTTGAAAGATTTGTCAGATAAAGGTTTCAGGGAGAATGAAGTTTTTTTCTGGGTAAGGAAAAGCAGACAGTTCTGTTAAAATTTAACTGGATTTAAATGAGAATGCAATCTATATTTTAAAACCCAAGTTTGGTCTTGATCTATGTTTTATGTTTTCAGATTCAAGAGTTTTTGCATTTTCTAATGATCGGAGACTTTATTAAAAGCAAAATAAACCCCCAAACTATAAAATTCCTACAAGAAAACAGGGGAAATTTTTCATGAGATTGTATTTGGCAATGATTTCTTGGATATGACACCAAAAAACACAGGCAACAAAACCAAAAATAGACAAATATGACTACATTAAGTTTAAAAACTTCTGTTCATCAGTGGTCATAATCAATAGAGTGAAAAGGCAGTCTACGGAATGGGGGAAAACATTTGCAAATCACCTATCTGATAATGGCTTAATACTTATTATATATAAAGAACTCTTACAACACGAAACCAAAAGATCAAATAACCTAATTTAAAATGGGCAAAGAACTTGAATAGGCATTTCTCTAGAGATGATAGACAAATGGCCAACAAGCATATGAAAAGATGCTCAAAATCACTAATCATCAGAGAAATTCAAATCAAAACCACAATGAGATATCACCTCTCACCCACTAAGATAGCTACTATTTAAAAATCCCAGAGAGGCGCCTGGGTAGCTTAGTCGGTTAAGCGTCCGACTTTCACTTAGGTCACGATCTCGCAGTTCGTGGGTTCGGGCCCCGCGTCGGGCTCTGTGCTGACTGCCAGCTCAGAGCCTGGAGCCTGTTTCAGTCTGTGACTCCCTCTCTCTCTGACCCTCCCCTGCTCACGCTGTCTCTCTCTCTCATAGAAATAAATAAAAATATTAAAAAAATAAATAAATAAATAAATAAAAATCCCAGAAAATGTCACATGTCTGGGGGGCATGTGGAAAATTTGGAGCCTTTATGCACTGTTGGTAGGATTGTAAAATGAGGTAATCATTACAGAAAACCATATGGAGGCTCCTCAAAAATTCTAAAATAGAACTACCTTATACTCCAGCAATTCCACTTCTGGATATATACTCAGAAGAACTGAAAGCAGCATCTCATAGAGATTTCAACACCCATGTTCATAGAAGCACTATTTACAATAGCCATCAACAATAGCCAAATGTCCAACGAGAGATGAATGAATAAACAGCATGTGGTGTATAATATAATGGAATACTATGCAGCCTCAAAAAGGAAAGAAATCTTGTCACATACTACAAAGCGTGGATAAACCTTGAGGATATAATGCTACATGGAATAAGCCAGTCACAAAAGGACAAATATTGTGTGATCCTGCTTATATTACGTATCTGAAGTAGTCAAAATCATAGAAATAAGAAGTATAATGGTGACTGCCAAGGACTGGGGGAGAGTGGAAAAGGGGAGTTGTTTTCAATGAACATAGAATTTCATAGATGCAGTTATGGAGATCTGCTTTACAACATTGTAAATATATTTAGTATATTACAATACTAAACTATACACTTAAAATGGCTAATATGGTAAATTTTAAGATATGATCTTTTTACCACAATATTTAAAAGGTAAAATAAAGAACACATTTATTTACAGAAGACCTTATCAGTTTTGTTTTGTTTTTACAAATGCTACTCTCCTGCCTGTAATCAATCAACAAATAAATTCATTCCTTTAATAAGTATTTATCATATATCCACTAAAGTCAGCTATTCTGCTATGGTTCTGGAAATACAAAGCTGAGCAAGACTTAGTTTAGCCCATGGCCTCATTCAATGGAGAAGACAAACACTTCAGCAATTATGACATTTTCTAACAATTCAGACACTTTACAACATGTGCTGGGTTTGGAATGGGTGTAGTTCTTTCTGAAGGAGTACTGAAAATAAGTATTTCTTAACTTGAATTTTTAAATGATATTTTCTCTGCTTAGGTTGTTCTTTCCACTTTTCTCCTTCTCATCTTTAACCTTCATTCTACCTACTCAAATTGAACCCATCACTCAAGGCCAGTACAAGTTTGGTTTTTTTTCTGACCATTCATGGATTATTCCAGCCCATATTTCTGGGCTCACTTACGAAAACAAGCTGGCTAAAGAGAGATATGGTAAGTGTTGAATTTGGTCCAGATTAAAGAGGAGTTGGACTTAATTTTGGTTAGTATTCAAGACCAAATAATGCTTTTCTCTTGCTGCGGGCCCCAAAGCTCATCCTGGTCCATTGGCTACATACAGTATAATGTTTTTAACACAAGTTTCTGCATCTCTTCTGATTCTTCTTTGGTCATCTACTTTGGTACTTGAGTTGAGATCTTACTTCTTGACTTAGGAGCTCTGGACACTGACCTTCATCTTTACAACATTAATTCTACTTGACATTTCAACTTTGATTTCTTTGTTTCTCTGAATCAAAATACTGAATCAGACTGAGTCCACTAACAGGATAAAGGGACTAAGTGCAACTTTTACATCATGCAAGTCTATCCTCCTTTCTATTTTCTCTAGATTATGCTGCCTGAACACAGTATTTTATCTTGTACTCTTTTTCTGACATGTAGGCAAGCCTTGCACCAAGTACTATTATATCCTTTCTCCTCATTTCTAGCACCTAGTACACTATGATATCATTGTGCTCAATACGTAGTTATAGAGTTGGATTAAAAGAGAAGTTACTGACCTCTTCACCATTTTTCTTCCTGCCCAAAGCATACTGCTTTGTTGCTTCAATAAATCGCACAGGGATATTATATACTCGTTTATTAAAGAATACAACTAGAGTATATGGCTGTTTGGAATCATGGCCAGAGCTTTTCCGAATAAGAAATGATCCATCCTGTTTATTAAAAGAAAAACATAATTATGGTATTACTTATGTTTTCATAGGCTATTAATCACTTGATACCTATATTATATTCAAAAGATAATTATTGAGCTATGTGATTTTCAACATTGATTATAGTTTATTGTTTCCAAGAAAATACTTCAGTAAAATATATACTTATAGAAAATCCAGGGTGAGGTCAATGCCAGGTTTTTTATGCATGAAATAAGATGTTATATTTATAGATTTAGAAATGTGTGAAGAGACACTTAAGATTAAATAAACAGGGCACTCTTGAACTAGGAACCACATCCACAAGTTACCTATGACTAAAATAAATATGAAACAAATTCCATTCAAAAGTACTATGAGAAGAAAGCAGAAATTGGGAATCGAAACATTTCATGTGATAAGAATTCTCTTCCCCCAAATTTATATTGGAACAGAAAAAAACACAACATATCAAGTTAATTAAATATTTTATAAAATATTCTAGGCGTCTGGGATGGCTGGCAGTAGAGCATGAGACTCTTGATATAGGGGTAGGGAGTTTGAGCCCCATGTTGGGTGTAGAGATTACTTAAAATGAATAAATAATTTACAGCCTTAAAAAATAAACTAAATATTCTAAATCATAAATCCAAAAAATATGAACAAAAAAATGGACAAAAAGAAGAAGGAAGAAATACAACAAGGGTTGATCAAACTCAGGAAGGAAACTGAAGAGAAAGGCAGACCTGGGTCGGAAATGAAGAAATTACAAGATCCTCAAGGGACAGTACCTTTAAATGAAGATATGATAAACAACCAAAGGAAGGAATGGAAGCAACCAAGACAGAAAACAATAAAAAAGGAGATTAAAAAAAAAAAAAAAAAGAAAGAAATACAATAGGGTCAGAGTGGTTAAAATGGAAGAAAGACAAAAAAGGTCCAAAACGCATGTAATTTGAGTCATTGAAGAAGAAAAACAAAACAGAACAGAACTACTATTTAAGAGTGGAATTTTATTGGAAAATAAATTTATTGGAAATAAGAGAAAACTTAAATCTACATATAGAAAGAGGTTCCATCTATCTGAAAACAATTGACCTGAAAATCAACTCAGAGACATCTTCTAGAAAACTATTAGACTTTAAAAACAAAACATCTGTAGAGCCTTCAGACTAAAATATGAAATTACACATAAGGGCAAGAAAATAATAGCATTGGACTTCTTAAAAGCACCCTGTAAAACAAGGCGGGGCACCTGGGTGGCTCTGTTGGTTAAGCGTCTGACTTTTGGTCTCAGCTCAGGTCATGATCTCATGGTTCATGAGTTCGAGCTCCACATTGGGCCTTGTGCTGATGGTACAGAACCTATTTGGGATTCTGTCTCTCTCTTTGCTCCTTCCCTGTGTGTGTGTGTGTGTGTGTGTGTGTGTGTGTGTGTACTTTCTCTCGAAAGAAAGAAAGAAAGAAAGAAAGAAAGAAAGAAAGAAAGAAAGAAACTTAAACAAACAACAACAAGGCAATACAGTGGAGCAACACTTTTAAAACCAAGATAAGGGTTTTATAAGCAGCCAAGATATCCTTCAGGTTATCAGGTTATGAAAAACAGCTTTGAATGTACAAGAATTCAGAGACTAATGTAAACATAGTCCTTCCTGAGAATCTACTACAAGGTGAGGTTTGTCAAGCAAAAAGAGATAACCAGAAAGCCAGCCAGCAAGGGGATTAATGGGAAGCATTCAATATATTTAATTGTAGAGCTAGGACTAAAGCAAAGGTAGCAAAAACCAGTATGTAAATGTTATATATTCTGACAAAGTAAAGTGCAAGTGAAAAAAAGGGGGGGTGAGGAGGAAAGAGCAAGATAGAGCAAAGTGGCATTTAATTTTCGATTTTCTAAACTAACTGCTCCTAGTGTTTCCTACATGATTTGGCTTGAACTCTCAAAAAATTTACTTCTAGGTACTTTTTGCCATTTTGACCGTGATCTTTTAACCCATGCACTGAACCAGTTACCTGTTACTTCCCTTCCTGAATAAATCTCATGGAGCAGCAAGCCTTACAGAGATCTGCCCCTGCAGCCTTCTCTCCCACTGTTTGGAGAGCAGTGGGGTCTATGGATCCTTGCAAAGGAAGGACAAATAGAAACAAGATGTAGGAACAAAGAGGGAGATGTTTGAAAGACAGGTGGGGATGGCAGTTGCTCTCAAATAAGTAAATAAAAAAGATCCCTGCATCCATAGTTGCTTCAATTACTGGTCAGAGAATTACTGGGATGACAGCTGTGTCTATAGTAGACTGAGAACAGGATAGAGGATTTAAAAATGGTCAAACCTGGGGCACCTGGGTGGCTCAGTCGGTTGAGTGTCTGACTTAGGTCATGATCTCGTGGTTCGTGAATTGGAGCCCTGTGTCGGGCTCTATGAGCCTGCTTCAGATTTCTGTGTCTTCCTCTCTCTCTGACCTTCCTCTGCTCATGCTCTGTCTGTCTGTCTCTCTCTCAAAAATAAATAAGCATTAAAAAATATTTTTTAATGGTCAAACCTTGTTTGATCTGTATAAAGCCTCTTCAGCAGACTTTCGATCGCAGGCACCAGCATACCATGGCTTGCAGTGAATGTCAGCTTCCTGTGAAGTGGAGGGCATCGGTAAACATGAGATGGCCCTTCAAGAACAGTACCTTCTGTGCACTGAAAACAAAGTTCCACTTTGCATTACCAAGGCAGATCTATGTTTGGACCAGTAATTTGAAAATGAGTTTTCTGCTTCCTTTGATCAATCACAGGATTATATAATTAACTTTTTTTCCTCATTTGGCCTTAGTGCTTGAGCATCATCGATCAATCAGTCCTGCTAGATTCCTGAGCCATTTATTCCTTCCTCCTAAGTAAGTTACAATCTCCCTTTCTATTATGATCTTATTGTTGTTGCTTTGTGGAGTGCTTCTTAATTTCCAAAGTGTGTTTACCAAATATTATTTTATTTGATTCTTTTAACTACTTTGAAGTCAAGAAGGATACATAATATCATCCCGATTTTACATCTGAGAAAGCTTGGGGAGACTTGCTGAAGGGCACACAGAGTCCTTTCTCTGTCTTTTTAAAAACTGTGCTGCTTATGGGGCGCCTGGGTGGCTTAGTCGGTTAAGCGTCTGACTTTCACTTGGGTCATGATCTCGCGGTTCGTGGGTTCGAGCCCCGCGTCGGGCTCTGTGCTGACTGCCAGCTCAGAGCCTGGAGCCTGTTTCAGTCTGTGACTCCCTCTCTCTCTGACCCTCCCCTGCTCGCGCTGTCTCTCTCTCTCCTAAAAATAAATAAAAAAACATTAAAAAAAAAAAACTGTGCTGCTTTATGTGTTTTAATATCATATGCCTCCACAGATCTATTCTGAGAAAATTACACAGTTTAAATAAAACCTATGTGAGAGGAAGAACAATAAAAACAACATACTTCTTTGCTAGTTTTGAAGAAATGCGATTGTTATTTAGGGCATCTAAAATACAAATCAGAATACATGGAGCAAGTACTCAATCCCTGGGGGGAAAATGTAGTCTGTACCCATCAGCAAGTGATAACTCACAAGCTGACTTAAAATATGGTTTCAAGCTTCACGTCCTCAAGCTTTACCCCAAACTCCTTACAAGACGACATGCCCTTTCCTGCATTTTAATGGTAACGATAGGAGTTCATTCATACCTGTTCTGACAAATGGGGGTTAGATGAAAATTGGCCATCAACAGCTGGGCTTCCCCCTTCTGGAAATCCTGGAAAGGATTTGAAAAATCAATGGGTCTTCATTGTATCTTGAGCAGTTACTATGCCTACACTCTAACACTGTGCCAGGTGCTGTAGGGAACACACACACTGGAAAATCATTCACACACCAGAAAAATCCTTAACTGCAGTGGTTCTTAAAGCATGGTCTGAGGACCTCAGGAGTCCCCAGGATTCCTTCAGGAAAGTTTTGAGGTCTTTTCCAAATCCATATCTCTGTGAGACCCAAAGTTCTTCATACATTTCAGTCAGAAAAACATTGCAACAGATTGAATGTAGAGGCAGATATGAGAATCCAGCTGTCCTTGTTAGTCTGGACATCAAAGAGATTTTAAAAATGCAAAACAATGCCACTCTTTCCACTCAGTTGTTTTTGTTTGGAAAATATAATAGTTTTTCATAAAAGTATTTTATTTATGTTAACATGTAATGGGTTTAATATTTTTAAAGGAAAAACAAAAGTTTTAATAAAAATGGATTAATAAATATCTTTTAAATGTCTGTTTTAATTAATACGTTAAGTATCAATAGAAAAACATGTGAACCAAAGGTCTTTGGATCATTGGAGACCAAGACATGTGAGAATTGCTGCCTCAAGGCATAAACTTCTTCAAGGAGTTTATGGTCTAACTGTGGACACACATGAAATAAAGAAAATACTGCTTTCATTCATTCATTCATTTATTCATTCATCATAGTGTGCCTGCCATGGATCAAGGCATTGGGGATAGATATATATATAGCGGTCAAATAAAACAGCAAAATGCTCTTCCCTCGTGGAGCTTAAGTTTTAATGGAGTGATTGAGACAGGCAATAAAGACATAAGAAATATATATACAATATTACAAAGTCATTAGTGCAAGGAGAAAATTAAGCAGGGAAGGCGGTTGGGGGCTGGCTAATGAAGGGACCAGCGGTGTAGGAACTGGTGGACCTGTTAGCATGACTTGAGCCTTAACAAACATGGTATGGGAAGCTTTTGAAGGGTTTTGAAGAGTAGTAAGGTAATCTACCTGTCTTTCAGCAAGGTCACTCTGGCTGCAGGGCTGGAAATAGATCCAAGAAAGCAAGGGCAGAGAGAAGAGGCCAGTTTGGTGGGAGATGGTGGCTCAGAACAGATGCTGCCAGTGGATGGTTGGGGATCAATTATATTTTGAAAGAATAGTTGCAAGGTGTGTGATGAAAGCAAGTGAGGGACTCAGTGGGTTAAGCCTCCAACTTTGGCTCAGGTCATGATCTCACGGTTCATGAGTTTGAGCCACACATCAGGCTCTGTGCAGACAGCTTAGAGCCTGGAGCCTGCTTCAGATTCTGCATCTCTCTCTCTCTCTCTGCCCCTCCCCCATTCACACTCTCTGTCTCTTTCAAAAATAAATACACATTTAAAAAATTTTTTAAAAAGCAATCAAGCAAGCAAGCAGTCATGGGGAACTCTTAAGGTTTTGACTACAGCAACCAGAATTGTCCTTTATTAGAAAGGGAAGCATGCAGGAGAAACAGGCTTAGATGTTTTGTCCTGGATATTCAAAAGCGATAGCCACCTCATTGTAACAGGATGGAACAGTGATGGCTTGGTAGGCCCAGCAAGGCTGGGCGTGAAGGAAGGGTGAGTTCTAATAGTTCAGGATAGTACTTCCGGGTGGGTGGGCGCAGCAACAGAGCATGGGAGGTCAGGCTCTCCCAGGCCACACAGTATAAGGTGATCAGTGGTTTCTGCAGCTTGGGTAGTTGGGAGAATTCAAGACTGCCATTTTCTGATCCTTGGATAAATGCCAATCCATTTCAAAATGGATTCATTTTCCACATCTTAGTTCATCTGTCCTCACATGGACCCATTGTGGGAGGAGCTATTAGACCCCATTTTCCAGATGAGGCCTTGCCTGACTGCCCCATCCAAAACAGCAGACTCTACCACCTCCGTTACTCTGTGACCCCACCCCGGCCAACTTGCTTTCTTTTTCTTTATAGCACTTTAGCATTTACCTGATAGCATATGATTTATCTAGTTGATTCTGTTTTTTGTTTATCTTCCCGAGTAGAATAGAAGCTCCAGAAGGGCAGGGATTCATTTGTTTTATCCAGTGCTGTATACCCTGTGTCTAGAACAGTGCCTGGCATGTGACAGATGGGTAACAAGGATTTGCCAATTGAAAGAATGACTTCGGTTGAAAAATAATAAAAAGTGTAATAAAGCTTTACATAGTGAAAAATAAAATTTCTATAGCCAAGCCATTTGCACTTTGTGTTCAGAATTTAATTTTATATATGTATGTTTAAATTTCATTTATTTAAGATAAATCAAAAATCTGATTAAAACCTAAAAACTGATTAATAATAATGCACATAAATTTTTCATTTATAACAACTATTTTAGGTATTTAAATTTACCAACTCTTGCTTATTTTGGTATATTTTCCAAATTACCCATGTGCGGTAGGGTTTTGTTTTGTGTCTTCATTTTTTCCTACATTGAGTAGAGGGCAAATCAAAGTTTGGGCAGTTCTGTTCTACAAGCCTGCCTTCATATATTTTTAGGGTGATGTACTGTTTGCCTTGGGAAAATTATCCAGTGATTTGCCAAATCTTTCTAGGGTAGGTTTTATGGGTATATTTTATGAGCATCAAAATGTATTTTAGATTTAATTTCAATAGCTATCATTTATTGAAGACCTTGTATATACAAAGCACTATACCAGGTACTTAATCTTATTTTGAAAACAGCTGTACTATTTTTATTAAAAAGTTAAGTATAAAAGCTGATCAGTAAAATATTCAATCAATACTAAAAAAGTAGAAAAGTAAAAATTATCTCAAATTTACTTACTTTTGACAATTACTCCATGAAATAAATATTTTTTTAAGTGTTTGTTTTGAGAGAGAGAGAGAGTGCATGTGTGTGAGTGCGTGCAAGTGTGAGCGGGGGAGGAGCAGAAAGAAAGGAAGAGACAGAGAATCCCAAGCAGAGTCTGTGCTGTCTGCACACAGTCGTATGCGGGGTTTGATCTCACAAACTAGGAGACCAAGACCTGAGCCAAAATCAGTAGCTGGATGCTTAACCAGCTGAGCCACCCAGGCGACCCTGAAATAAATATCGTTGGCTCCATTTGACAGAAAAGGAAACAAGCCAGAGAGGGTACTGAGATCCTCCAGCTAGAAGCGTTGCTCAGACATGAAGATCCAGCCTTACCCACAACCTGATATTGCTTTTCATGTTTCACTGTACTTACTTGGCAGAGGTACAGGTTTGTGATGGATTTGTCTGCAAGGAAGAATTTCAGATTAATTAAAGGGCAAAGCACAAGATGAACAAGTTTGACATTTGCTTGCCCTGAAGATGCTCTGAGCAGAGGCATCACAAAGGCGTCAACACAAATGGCCAATAAAACATATCTAAGGACAGAAAAGGCACTAAAACTTTAAGGTAAATAAAACTGTCCCTTTCAGTTTTAAAAAGAAAGGGCCTTGACTTAAGTGTTAGATTTTAGTGAAAACCAATAAACCCAACTATTAGGTCTTTGTGATTCTAAGAAATTCTTTTAAAGTTTTTTCCTACTTAACACCTTTTAAAATTTAATTGCAATACAATGAATGTCAGATTTTTACCAAGCACTACAAGCCAGGGTCACTATTCAGTGTAACAATACAGGTGTTAGAGAAACATTTTTAAAGGAAAGGATTCTTACTTCTGGGCAGGAGGAAACACCGATGACTGCATATTTTCTTGTCTGTGACTAGAAGCTCGGTGGCGTTCAGCAGGTATGGGTTTTTCTGCATTAAGAAAGTTCTCATATCAGACTAGAGTGAAATGTCTGTGCCATGTCCAAACTCAGCAACATCAACCGAGAAGAACCAGATTTGGTCTGATGTCTTCCCATGAACACATCTTTCACCAGGATGTCATCTGTTTATGCACCTGTCAGTCTGGTGACATGTTTGCACTGTTCAACCAGGCATGCTACCCAGCAGGCACAGCTTACCGCTCTGTGGGAGTATATATGGGGACTGAGCCATGGAGCCTGGACCTTTAAATGTGTGAGTACAGGTGGAAGCCAGAGATAAACAAGTTTGACCCACACCTGTATCCTTCACACACCCTTAGTGTATCTTCGTTAATCATAAGAGGTGGTATAAGTAATTTTTTACTGATAAGAGGTAATATATCAGAGTTTGCAAATAATCTACACTTTTTGAAAAATTAACTGAACAAATTCAAGGTTCATCCCTATAATAATGTTAATCTCATTTGCATTTCATTGTGTTTCCTGAGCGGGAGAAGAATATGAGTGGTACACAGGGAAATGGGCAAACCTGAAATGTAAGAAATTTATGCTGAATTTATGTTGAAATTTACTGCTGAACCATCAATAAATGTGATTATAAATTATTCTAATGCTTCATTCTCCCTCAATTTTGGTCTAGGGTGTGTTAGAATCTGAGTATGTCAATGAGTGTATGTCCTACATGGAAGAAAGGTGAACTATTGGTCTTCTATTACAGGAACCCAAAGGAATAAAAGTAGTATGAACTCAGAGATTCAGATAAATGATAAAATAGACTTCAAGGGTTTCATGTAATGAAGCAAAATTCAGAAGCCTTGAACCCCTGAAGAATGTTTTAAGTCTGTGACAAGCTACTTTGAGCTGCCATGTGAGGTGTTTTGTTCATGACTTTGCAACTTGGTAATTTCAGGAGAAACAATGAACACACTTGGTTCCCACAGCCTGATAAACTTTGACCGTCCTGCGTTGTCTCTGCAGTCCTGGTGGTTTCCTCCCTAGGCAAGAAGAGGCTGTTCACCTGCACTGGGTTTGGAAGATCATTGCCTCTGTTCTTGAGATAAGTCACAAAAGAGACAGCATGCCAAGCTTTTGTACTAGGAGCCCTTTGGGAATGAGGACACCAGAGCTACGTGGCGCATGCCAAGAGCCCCTTCTCGGCTGGTTTTCAAAGGCTCCTGAAGTCAATGGAATTTGCACAGGGTTGAGTTTACTTCCTGCAGAGGCTCACCCTAGGGCTCCACTATAATTTCAGCTCCCTGCTCAAAAGGCACAGAAGACTGTAAGGTATGGAAGGACAAGGAGGCAAAAGCATGGCGGATGAAAAAGGAAAGGCAGATGAAAGCAAGACAGCAGAAAGGGAGTGATATCTTAGAAATAGCCTGGAGGAAAAAAGATGTGGGAAACAGCTGTAACACACACACACACACACACACACACACACACACACACACAACCAGTGGAGCAGTTGAAGCAGACAGGCAGGTTGTAGGACAATTCAGAAAATGTCCACCATCCATTGTCAAAGAAGCCAGAGCATGTTATATGGATGTGCCCACTTTAACTCAGGAAATGGTGAGAATACTCAGCCTTAAGATCGGGTAGCTTCAGTTGTGGAATTAGATGGGGTTCGGGCTTTAACTCTATGTAGTGTTCTAAGTGTAGAGATTATGAATAATTCTTACTTCTTTCTTTTTATTTACTTCCTCCACTATTTTTCAAATACAAATAGTTTTTTAAATGGAAAATTCCGATTAAAAGTACTTGTGAGGTTTTTAGGACAGGATAAGATGAAGAAAAGCATTTGAAGATGTACTAAAACAGATATTTGAATTCAGAAAAACTTGCTTTGGACACTTAGCAAAAGAACTTGTTCAAATAAGCAGATTTTTATAGATTTCATTACCTTAACTAAGCTATTATTTCTAAGATACATGAATGCCTCCAAGTAAGTCTTCATCGCCGTGTAAAGCTGCAGCACTGTGCCTGGTAAGTCAGTGCCTCTAACCAGGCAGGGGGCCTGGAGCCTATGGCCTCCTCCCAAAGACACTGGCTCAAAAGCTCACTCAGGTCCATACTACTCGTTGCAAAGCCAAGGCCACTTCATTCAGAAAACCAAGCTTCATATTTACAATTGCCTTATAAGTAGTTAAAGCAATTTAGAAATACACTTATATACAGATCCTTAATTAAAATAACTTTAAGAGGACATACTCAACCTTCAGAATAATACAAGTTTACCTTCACAAACAGTTGAAGCGTTCTGTTGAGGGGCAAGTGGAGTCTATTAAAAAAAACAGGCAAGGATATTCACTACAGTAGAATGTGGACATAAATGTCAAAGCAATATTATTAAAATAAATTATTTGGGGAGGACATTTCTTTGATGCATGGCTATTCTTTCAATCACAAGAACAACAATAAAAAACACACAGTTCCCAGCCCAACATCTATTAAGCAGCAATGGACCTCAAGTGTATCATGGAAGGGACAGTGTCATCCCAATGTAGGGACTTCTGTGCTCTGTCAACAAGGCTCACGGATGCCTTGCATGACCCGCAGTAGCTGCTGGCCAGCAGCTCTTGCGCCGAGGGAATATGGCATCTGGCTTTGGTCTTAGGGCCCCCCCTTAGTGTATGCTAAGCTGATTGTAAATGTCAGGCTACAGAGTAGGCACTAGGTCAAGGGGGGGCTTCCTCAGACAGTGGGCCAGCCCAGGTTCCCTGTAAACTGGCCAGAATCTGAGTTTTTTCAGGCCTGTGTGTGCCCGATACACCATTAGCTCCCAGGCCAGCAGATGGGAAGTAGATACAGGGACTCCCCACAGAGAAGGCAGCTGTCAGGGGAGGCAGGGAGCCTGGCTTCCACCTTGGATCCGCAGCTCACACTCAGTGAAGCCCCCGGGGCTGAGTGAGGATGAACTCCCCTCGTGTAGCATCTTCTGCGGCTGACCGAGGATGCTAACTTTCTCTTGGAGCGCCTGGGCGGCAACTTCAGTTGCTAAAATTGCTGCGTTCACCTTAGCTGGAAGCATTGTCAACTTTAAATAAGGGAATAAGAATAAGCATTGCAGGAAACATGAAACACATTTAAATGCAAAATTAACTTACTGTCTTCAGTGGTGTAGCTGGTTTTTTCCTGGAGGATAAAATGAGATTGGGCCTTGTTAAAACATAACAAAGATAAAGTGGAGCTGACTGCTTATCATTTCACTCTCAAATTTAAATTAGAATAATAAATATGATATGAGTGTGTTGGAAGACTGTCCTTGAAGGGCAGAAGCGGGGATGGAATGAGGATTTAGTCCTGATCCTCCCGGCTTCAGATAGAGTCCACTGACAGATGGTTAAGAGTTAACTGCGGATAAACCGGAGCGCCAGTTGCCAGGGAATCAGGATAACAGAGTTCTTGTTCCAGTTCTGCTGCTGATTACTCTGTGACCTCGGGCCTCTCTCTCCTGCCTGTGAGGCTGGTTGGAGCTTTAGTTTCCTTGTCCGTAAAATGAGGACTAGAATCAGTATTTTCAAAGTGTGGACACAGAGACCTCCCATCTTCCAAGGGTAACCTTGGGCTATAGCCTGCAGGCATGAGCAGAGATAGGAGGATGGCCCAGCAGGTGCAGCTGCAGACAGCACCCCTCCACCCCCCACCACTGCTGTCCTGCCTCAGGGGACTATTCTCTGGTAGACACCTGCCTAGGATTTCATCCCGAACAGAGAAATCCAAGACCAACACAAGTGTGAAAAACACTGATGTGTGGTGCCCGAGCTCAGTTCTGGTAGAGATTATAATCGAATATTGTAAGGGTGTATGCTTCTTTTCTGTGTTTAAAGACTCTCTCTCACCTCCTCTTTCTCTCTCTCCATCTCTCTCTCTCCTTCTCTGTCTCTCTTTCACTTTGTTTTTGGCTGAGAACTGGAAGATGGGAAGAACACTAACAATTCCCAAGTGCCTGTCACTGAGTTAAGCTTTTCATGTTACTTAAACCTTTCGGTGACCTTTTAAAATGGATGTTATTAGGGGCGCCTGGGTGGCTTAGTTGGTTAAGCGTCCGACTTTCGCTTAGGTCATGATCTCATGGTTCGTGGGTTCGGGCCCTGCGTCGGGCTCTGTGCTGACTGCCAGCTCAGAGCCTGGAGCCTGTTTCAGTCTGTGACTCCCTCTCTCTCTGACCCTCCCCTGCTCACGCTGTCTCTCTCTCTCTCCTAGAAATAAATAAAACATTAAAAAAAATATAATGGATATTATTGTTGCATTTTAGAGATTAGGAAGCCGAGGTTCAGAGAGATTAAGTAACTTGCCCAAAGTGATAAAACTCAGGCAAGGAGAAATTTTGGTCAATAAACCTTTGAACCAAGAATTTCTTTGCTTTATAGAGACAGAATCAAGATTATAATCATGCAGGCTAGCTTTGCACATATTTAAGTGGACTTTCAAAATAACCTATTGAATCAATATAAAATTATGGGGTCATTGCTTGTGATATTAATATGTTACAGCACCTAACAGTTTACAAAGCTCCTTTTTTTAAAAAAAAATTTTAATGTTTTACTTATTTCTAGGAGAGAGAGAGAGAGAGAGAGAGAGACAGCGTGAGCAGGGGAGGGTCAGAGAGAGAGGGAGTCACAGACTGAAACAGGCTCCAGGCTCTGAGCTGGCAGTCAGCACAGAGCCCGACGCGGGGCTTGAACCCACGAACCACGAGATCATGACCTAAGAGAAAGTCGGATGCTTAACCGACTATGCCACCCAGGCGCCCCTACAAAGCTCTTTTACATTCAGTAAGAAAGTATGACTCTCTTATCTCACCTTTGAAAGGAACCTCGGCAGTGTGGCCTTTGATTGAACAATCCAGTGTGCTGTTGGGTGTACATAGGTTTGTCTACATATTGTGAACTACTTGGAAGAGAGGCGGAGGAGTAGAAAGTAAAGATGAAAACTGCCAGTGGGCCTCAAAATTATTCAGGTGCAGGAGCTTCTGTCTTTTGGAATACAAGTCAATGAGCTCAAGATTTAACTAAGAATTTAGGGGAGGAAAGACTGCTAGTTCTCTATTTCAGCAGGAAATAGTCTGACTTGAAGCACGCCCCGGGAGTGGAGGAGAACAGGGCAGTGGGGCTTCATTTCCACACCCTTTAGGAACACACCTACTGGAGTGTGAGGTGCACCTGTATATGAGCCTGGGCTGGTGCGCTCTTCAGGATGCAAACAGCAGGAAAAGCACCCGCGTCCCCCCAGATTCTCAGGCAGGACCCCTTCGTGGATTCCAGGAGGCCCTGCCCACAGCAGTGGGCTCACATCTCACAGAGCTGGCTCTCCCCAGCACGTACTCACCCGGCCCGGGGCATTGGGCACGGCGCAGCAGGAGAAGGTGACTTAGTGTCCCAGGCCCCACTGTTACGACCTGCACAAACATATACATAGGTTAGTCTCCGAGTCCTGAACCTGGGGCTGATGGTCACAGTGAAGCTGGCCTTTCCAGCAGGCTCAGAAATAGAGGTAAATGTTTGGTTTCTTTCAGTTAAGCATGTATAGGTGGTTACATAGAAGCTACTGGGGGAGACAATAGGCAAAGGTGATGAAATATTTAAATAATGGCAGTTTATAAGCTCAGAACCAGAGTGAGAATTAGGGACTCCATCTTAATATTTCTAAATGACTTCTCTTTTCCTCTATGGGACAAGTACAGAGCGCTCTGATTCTGTGGGTGCAACAAAAGCCCCACAGTGTTCCTACAGGAAGGAGCCAAGAGCGCATCTACATACACTGCACAGACACGCACACCAGCAATGCTTAGGGACAGAGAGATGCAGACCCGCCACTCCTCCTACCTGCCCATATGCACTGTTCATTTGCAACCACACTGACATATACTATATACACCTAACCTCACATTCAGAGGCTGTTCATTCATCTCTGAACTCTCAGGCCTTTGCCCATTGCATAGACAGACAGATTGAGACAAGTAACGAGCTACTGCCCGAATTTCATCTTCCAAAGTCACAGAAGGGACCCTGAGGGCCCTGTCTGCTACACCACATTGCCCTCTTGCTACCTAAGATGAAGGGCAGACGGTCATGAGGGAGGAACTGAGATAGCCAGAGCTGTCTTGGAGGACAGAGCAGGCCTGGAGGGAGAGAGCTGGATACCAAGCCAGTTGCCTCAGTGTCTCCTGGCTGCCTTCCCTCAGGCCAATGCTCACCTGCTTGGGCGTTATGGCTCAGGGAGACAAAAGCTCTTTATTGGATTAAAGTGAACTAAGTATTTTATTAAGAAAAGACTACATTTCTAAGCCCACAATTACTATTGGACCCACAGGGGATACTCTGGAGATATAGGCTGGACCTACCCTCAGTCTATATTATTTTAGTTTGCGAGATAAAGCACACATAAGTGAGCGCTGAGGCAATAATGGATTCCTGAGAATTACTGAGAACTTGGTATGTGAAGAGCACTGTGTTAGGGTGTATGGAAGAGGTGAAGGCACAGAGATAGGCCTCTGCTGACTCGGAATTTATAACACGAGGATGTGCACACGCCATGCCGCTTCATCTCACAGGACAACCTATGTCAAACACAAAAAAGAAAAAGGCCTCAAAGATATTAAAAATAGAGATCACAAAGCTCATTCTCATGTACTCCACGAGAGAGAGAGAGGCCTTCAGGCTTTCGCTCAGAGCCCATCCACTCCTCTTCTACACACAGTTCTTACACAGTCTACTTTCCACGCATGCCCACAAATGAGAAGAACAGCCAAGAGTGTGTGGCATTGACTCCATGGAACAGCCAAGGGAAAGTCCCCCCCCCCGCCCCCCTTACAGGACTCTCACTTAGATGCTAACCTGACCTTGATGTGACTTTTAAAATCATTTGCAAAAGAGACTACATTCAGAATTTTTAACATTTCATGTGACAATAAACTGAAATGTCATCTGAATATGAAGTATGAGTCCAACTGTGTTTCATTGGCTGGTTTGCCCTTGGCTACTCATAGATTTTGATGGAGGATTTCAGGGAAGGAGAGGAAAACACACTTGTCTGAAAAATAAGGAAATAGAAAGAAAGTCTGAGTCAGAATTTCCTCCTGGGGGTGTTCTCTCTTTTTCAATGCCAAGGGTTCATCTGGCCTGGGGTACATGGTTGTCATATTTTTACAGCCTGGCTTCTCTACTAAGCTTCCCTTCCCTTCATATCTTCAAGCAGTCTGCCAACATGTTCCTTCCCCCATCCTTGCACATAAATAACTTCTGCTATCAGAGAGGGAGGGGCAGGCTGCCTTCCCCTGTAGTGCTACCATCAGTGCCGGTGGGAAACCCACACTCTCACACCCGGAGGACAGGGTTCTAGTTATTTTTTTGCCACCCAGTGGGCTGGGTGACCTCTTAGAAGTTACTGTGTTTCAGGGGCGCCTGGGTGGCTTAGTCGGTTAAGCGTCCAACTTTCGCTTGGGTCATGATCTCACAGTTCGTGGGTTCGAGCCCCGCGTCGGGCTCTGTGCTGACTGCCAGCTCAGAGCCTGGAGCCTGTTTCAGTCTGTGACTCTCTCTCTCTCTGACCCTCCCCTGCTCATGCTGTCTCTCTCTCTCTCTCTCTCTCTCTCCTAGAAATAAATAAAAACATTTAAAAAAAAAAAAAAAAAAGAAGTTACTGTGTTTCAGTCTCCCCCACTGTGAACTGGGGACACAATCACTACCGTACCTACCTCACAGTTATTGTGGTAAGACCAGAGGGAAACCTTGAAAATGTAAAGAAATGGCAAATATAAACTAATATTGCTGGAAAGGGACTGAAAGTATTTGAGGTTAAAAACATGTTAAGTGAAAAGAGCCAGATGGAGAAGGCTTCCTACTGTATGACTCCAGCTATATGAGATGTCTAGAAAAGGCCAATCTATAGCAACAGGAAGCAGATCAGTGGTTGCCTAGAGCTGGGGGTGGGAAGAACATTCACCAAAAATGGGCATAAAGGATCTTTTGGAGTTGGTGTGTGCATGGAAACTTTCTACAACTGGATTGTAGTGATGGTTTAAAAAACTCTGTAAATGTAATGATTTATAAAATATACTGCAGTACACTGTTGTTGGGAATGCAAACCGGTTCAGCCACTCTGGAAAACAGTGTGGAGGTTCCTCAAACAATTAAAAATAGGACTACCCTATGACCCAGCAGTTGTACTACTAGGAATTCATCCAAAGGATAAAGGAGTGCTGATCATAGGGGCACATGTACCCCAATGTTTATAGTAGTGCTATCAACAATAGCCAAATTATGAGAACAGCCCAAATGTCCACTGACTGATGAATGGATAAAGAAGATGTGGTTTATATATACAATGGAATACTACTTGGCAATGAGAAAGAATGGAATCCTGCCATTTGCAGCAATGTGTATGAAACTGGAGGGTATTATGCTAAGTGAAATAAGTCAGTCAGAGAAAGACAGACATCATATGTTTTCACTCATATGTGGAACTTGAGAAACTTAACAGAAGTTAAGGGGAAGGGAAGGGAAAAAATAGTTTCAAACAGAGGGGGAGGCAAACCATAAGAGACTCTTAAATACAGAGAACAAACTGAGGATTGATGAAGGGGCAAGGGAGAGGGGAAAATGGGTGATGGGCACTGAGGAGGGCACTTGTTGGGATGAGCACTGGGTGTTGTATGGAAGCGATGAATCATGGGAATCTACCCCTAAGACCAAGAGCACACTGTATACACTGTATGTTAGCCAATTTGACAATAAATTATATTTAAAAAAATAAATAAAGTGGCTGAAAATAGAAAAAAATATTGGGGTATACATGTAAAAGAAGTGAGGTTTATAATATGTAAATTATAACTCGTAAAGGGGATCTCTGTAAACACGATTACTGCCATTTTTGTTTTAGCACCTTGTTATCAATCACCACAGTGTCTACTTTCAATGTATCATCTCTAAGCATTACATTACATCACATAGAGAAAACAGAGGCTCTAAGAGGTTAAGTAGCAGCGTGGGGCTTGAAAAGCAAGGCTATCTGAGTTTAAAACCAGGTGGGCATTTTTTTCTCTCTAGCCAATGCCTCCGAGTGTTATTGTGGGCTGTGATTTGGCAGGTCAGATTTACTTGCTGTTTTTCCCTTACTTGGGGAAAGATTGGTGAAACAGAGGGGTGCTTTTGTGGATGCCCATGGGAAGATGGAGAATGACTCTCCTATTTCATAGGCCGGTGACCTTCTCTGCTGCTCTGGGCCTGGAATCAGACCTAGGGGCCTGCTGGGGTAGGCCAACCTGGTCCCCTCTTTGTGACCAGGATCCTTGCTTTCTGGTGAAGCCAAATTCTTGGCTGGAATACTCCAGAGGAGAAATTGGAAATGCGATAAAGGGAGATGTGTCCAAAAGCATAATAATAAGAGAAAAAAATCAGCTTTGTTTTAATTATATTGAGCAAAAAGTGATGTTAATGTTTGCACAGCTGGTGCTTATCAAAGTTTCTTGACTAGGAAAATGACTTCCTCTCAGTTTTTCCTTCTAGCACATATATTTTATGTATCATCCTCTCTTCGATTCTACATACAATGTTGGTAAGTTTCCTTATTCTTAACAATCCCAATATTGGCATGGTAAGCCCTTGGAATTTCACTGTCTTCTAGCTCTTCTGGAAACCCTGGAATTACTAGCGGGGCTTGCACACCAGCTGGAGCACCACTTACTCTCAGGCGCTGCATGAGCTCTTACTGAATAAAGAAATTTAAGTTAACAATTTCAGAACAGTTTGGCTTACAGGCAAAATTCAACTTGCATATTTGCAGGGGATTGTAAATTCCCAAACTCTTCTCCTGTTTTAGGAAATTAGCAGGTAGATTTCTTTTTTTTTTTTTTTAATTTTAATGTTTATTTACTTTTTTTTTTTAAATTTTTTTTTTTTTATGTTTTATTTATTTCTAGGAGAGAGAGAGAGAGACAGCATGAGCAGGGGAGGGTCAGAGAGAGAGGGAGTCACAGACTGAAACAGGCTCCAGGCTCTGAGCTGGCAGTCAGCACAGAGCCCGACGCGGGGCTCGAACCCACGAACCGCGAGATCATGACCTAAGCGAAAGTCGGACGCTTAACCGACTAAGCCACCCAGGCGCCCCTGTTTATTTACTTTTGAGAGAAAGAGACAGAGGCATGAGCGTAGGAGGGGCAGAGAGGGGGACACAATCCGAAGCGGGCTCCAAACTGTCAGCACAGAGCTCAATGTGGGGCTCAAACTCACAGACCATGAGGACAGATCTCTTTTTAAATGCTCCTTACTTAGAGGAAGTTCAGAAGTGCACCCCCTGTCTACCCTCTCCTGACAAAAGCTGCAAATCATCCAGGGGGTGCCGGGCTTTCTTGTAAATCACATTTAGAAATAAATCACTAAAAAAAATGTGAGTCTTTCAGTTTGTTTAGACCAGTGGTTCTTAATTGGGAATACTTTGTCCCCTCCGCCTTCCTGCCCCTGGGACATTTGGCGATGTCTGCAGACACCTTTGCTTTTCACTATTGGGGAAAGGGGACTACGGGCACCTATTTTGGGCAGAGGCAGCCAAGGATGCCACTAAACATCTCACATGCGCAGGGCAGCTAGGAAAACAAAGAATGATCTAGCCCCAAATGCCAACTGTGTGGAGGTCGAGACACCCTGATTTAGGGTAAAACTTTATGCAGAAAGAAAGAAACAACTGTTCCCTGTGTACAAGGCACTCTGCCGGACTGGTCATGAGTCAAGGCACGCTAAACAAAGTATTCCAAATAATGGTAATAATAGTAACAAAGAGCTATCACTTTATGGGGGGGATTCATCTACGTTTACACAACTTAATCTTCGCACCCCCCTAGGCATAGGTGCCATCTTCTCCTCCATGTTTTCAGATGAGGAAACTAAGAAACATACAGATTGCTTCACTTGTTTAAAGTCTGGCACCTAGCACAAGTCAGCGTCAAGATCCGAGCCCTCTGGCTTTGGAGTCTGTGCTGTCCTGAAACTGTGCTTCTCTGTATGGACCATGGAGCAGAGGGAGAGATTGCCCCTGCACTGATTCACTGTGTAATCCTCACCAAGTACCTTTTAAGCCATCAAAGAGCCAAAAGCAACATCCATTGACTACAGGCAACTACCCTGGTGCGGACAGAAACACCAGGTGCCTTAGCACTTTCATGATGCCTACCTCGGCATTATCTGTAGTCTGACACAGGCAAGTAGCCTGAACATTCCTTTTATAGAAATCATCTCTGAAAACTCTGCTGTTTGCACACTCAGAAACTCATTCTAACTGTTCAGGTTTATCTCTCCCAAATTATCTTACTTCCTACCCTTCCTGTATTTCCTCTCGTTTGTATCCAACGATCACATAACCAGGAAATCATTTTTTTGTTCAGGTTTCGTTTCTTCTGATGCCTCTAGTATTAAAATATAGCTATACTAGATTAATAGAAAAAAAATGAATAAAACTGGCAACATTTGGAGGCATTCAGAAACTCATCTCAGTGACTGAGGAGAGAGCCAAGATGCAAGGGTATGGCTAAGTGGACTCTCGAAGACAGGAGACAGAAGTATGAAGTGACAAAGGAAAGGAAGCCTAGATTAGGGTAGTGGCAACTAAAATGGAAGAGCAAATTCAAGAAAAAGAAAGAGCAGACTTTGGAAAGAACACAGGCCCTCAGACATGTGACCTAGAGGCTGACACGCACAGAGGAATAGGGCTGCCCTAAGTGATGAATTCATAGAACTTGAGGCCCTGGGTATGTCAAGTTGTTCAGAAGAGAAATAGGTCAAAGTTGCATACCATAGGGGCCGGGGTGGCTTAGTCGGTTAAGCATCTGACTTTGGCTCAGGACGTGGTCTCACAGTTTGTGGGTTTGAGCCCTGCATCAGGCTCTCTGCTGTCAGCACAGAGCCCATTTTGGATCCTCTGTCTCCCTCTCTCTGTCCCTCTCTCCCTCCCTCTCTCTCTCTCTCAAAAATAAATAAATATTTTTTAAAAAGATTTTTATAGTTAAAAAGTTGCACACCAGGGAATTATTGGCTTAGACAAGAGAATTGAAGCCAGAGGAATGGATGGACCCCAAAGAAGTGAAAGAGAATATTCTTTCCCAAGCATTTGCCATGTGCCAGGCACTGTATTAATGCTTTCCTGTGCACAATTCCATAAGTCTCCTGTCACAGGGCAGGGGCTATTATCTCTGCTTACAGAGGAAGAAGTCTGAAGACTGGAGATGCAAAGGACAGGCCCAAAGTGGCACATCTGGCAACTGGGAGCACTAGGATTCCAACCCACATCTGTCTGGTCCAAAACCCAGGCTTTTAACCACTCTTCTTCCAGAAGAAGAGTGGGGGGCTGAGGACCAAATGGTACAGACACCCTCAGTCAGGGGAGGAGAAAGGAGGAGCCAGCAACGAGCCCATAGAAGTAGGATGACAACCCGGACTGCCTAACAGAGGCCTCAGGGTATGGGGGTGGGAGGGAGGGCCCCCTCAACATAGGTACTACCAGACAGTGGATGAGGATGTCATAATTTATTAAGAAATTTGGAAATACAAGTGATTATTTCTTAATATTTGATCTCAGATTTTTGGCTTATTCGGACTAGACTTAAAAACCAACCCCACAAATGCAATCATTTCACACACACAAAACAACATCAAATCATGCATATACTTTACCTGAAGCTGTCCCAGGAGGAGAGGCTGGCTTCGAGGAGCTGTTTGGCTTGGTGGATCTATTCACCATGGGAGCTTAAACACACAAATACATACATACATATAACAATTATTGATTTGTTGAGGGAGATTCACACTTATGGAAAAATGCATCGTGGGAATGATGGGTCAGGCCAGGGAATTTGTAAAGAATGGGAAACACAATTGTTAAACACATAAGCCATGAGAGGAAACTTTCTCAGAAGAAACATCTTTAGAATACATGTATTAATGATTAAGGGCATAATCAAGCTATTATTTTATGAGAGAGATTTTGTTAGAGTGAATTCTGGCTTGGAATTTCATTTGCCAAACTGGTGGTCTAGGGACCAAATTAGTAGCTCCCCCTCCACCTCCTCTTGCACATTTCTCTTGGATTCTGTGGGGTTTGTGGGGGGCAATTTAATATCTATTTATGGTTTCATGGTGACGGGTAGCTCAGGAATTTAAGAGGGCCTTGAAGCTGCTTGTGATATTTGGGGGGTGCAGGAGGGGGTTGCTACAGAACGGCAGAGTAAAAATAGAGAATGACTACTTTGGACTCGAGTTTATTAAGTGAGTAATGTTACTTGAGGAGACCTCATGTCTACAGGATCATGTTCTCCATGGCGACTAGACCCAGAGTCCACATGCCCTGCTCTGCTCTTGCTCTAAGGGTACGTGGCCCTGGCTTCTAAAGATCCTCCGTATAATTGCATTTGTTATGCCACAAAGGCTTATAAGCCAAGTGTTTCTCATCGCCTGAGAAAGTGCTACATTTAAAGAGTCGGGATGCAGAGCTTATTTCATCCCTTCATTTCTTCCATCCTCTGCAGAAATAGTTCTGGTGCTACGTTCGTAAGGCCAATGCGGTGGCCTGTGGCTTTGTGCGGATTCAGTGTTACGCGAAATCCATTCTACGTGAGGGCAGTTAAATAAGCACATAGCTGCCTTCATAATTGGAGATGGCAGTATGACAGTGTGGAAGGGGATGGGAAGAAGGGTGTGACAGACATGGGTCCCTCCCTGGTGCCCCTGCTCAGCCTGCCACGGAAGGCAGATGCCGTGACCACAGAGGAGAAAGGCCTGGGCCCGGACTTTCTGTCCTCACCCCCTCCGCTTGATGCTTGTTACCAGACAGCCTCACATGCTCCCATCCACTGCTCAAAGGGTGCCTAAAACTACAGACGCTTACCTTTTTCAGCTGGGAGTGAACTGCTTTCTGTGGGATGAATGTAGTTTTCGTCTTCATCCTCCAGAGGGACCACATAATCAACCTGGAAGAAGTGAGGAAGTGAGTGACAAGGATGCTCTACATTCCGGGTTCATTGTCTGGGGAGGAGGGATTTTTAAAATACCTTTGCTGAGATAGAATTCATGCACCATTAAATTCCCCTTTGTAAAGTGTATAATCGGGTGGTTTTTAGTATATTCACAGAGTGTGCAAGAAGCTCCGTAATCTAATTTTAGAACATTTTCATCACCCCGAAAAGGAGCCCTGTACTCATTAGTCACTTCTCATCTACCCCTTCCCCGACCTAGTCAACCATGAATCCACCTTCTGTCTCTCAGAGCTGCCTATTCTGGGCACTGCCTAGAATTGGAGTCACACAATATATAGTCTTTTGTGACTTCTTTCATACAGCATATTAATTTCCAGTTTCAACCACATATCATGCGCCAGTACATCACTCACTTGTATGACCAAGTAACAGTCCGTTATGTGAATATAACACATTTTGTCTATCTCTTCAGGTGGTGGACCTTTGGGTTGTTTTCACTTTCTGGTTTTTATGAATAACGGTGCTATGGACATTGTGGCACATGTCTTTGTGTTGATATACATTTCCCTTGGGAATATACCTAGTGGTGGGATTGCTGGGCCACACGGCAGCTCTGTGTTTAAGTCTGAGGAACCGCCAGACTGTTTTCCAAAGTGCCTGTACCCTTTGCATGCCCATCAGCAGTGTGTGAGGGCTCCAACTTCTCCACACCCTCACCGACTCTTGCTATTGTCCGCCTTTTGGAACAGAACTATCCTGAGATGTGAAGCGGTATCTAGTTATGGTTTTGATTTGCATTTTCCTGATGCTTAATGATGTTGAGCCTCTTTTTGAGTGCTTAGTGTCCCTTTTTATAGCTTGTTTAGGCAAAAGTCTACTCACCACCTTTGCCTCTTCTTAATTGGGTTGTTTGTCTTTTTTATTATTGGGTTGTAAGTGTTCTTTAATTGCTCTAGATAGAAGCCTCTTATCCGATATATAATTTGCAAAATTCTTCTCCCATTTTCTACGTTGTCTTCTTACTTTCTTGGCGGTGTTGCTTGCAGCACAAAAGCTTTACATTCTGAAGCCCACTTTAGCTGTGTTTTCTGTTGTTGCCTGTGCTTTTGGTGCCGTATCTAAGATACTGCTGCCTAATGCAAGGTCGTAGAGATTTATACCTTTGTTCTCTACTAAGAATGTTCTAGTTTTAGCTCTTACCTTTAAGTCTATGATCTATTTTTGGTTAGTTTTTGTCTGTCATGTGACAGGGGTCCACTCTTATGTTTTCGTATGTGGATATAGTTCTCTCCTAGCACAATTTAAAAAAAAAAACAACAATTCTTTCCCCACTGAATGGTCTTGGCAACTTTGTCAAAGATCAATTGACCAGAAATGAGGGGATGAAGTGATTTTATACTGATATGAAGCAAATGAGATAGTCAGATCTCAAATGTGGTTTTTACAACCCATCTTGGTGGGTAGCCAAGGAGGATACTAGGAGAAACAAAAACCAAACATTTATTGAACACTTACTGCCAGGAACTCATCTGAGTACTTTGCATGTGTTATTTCACTTAATCCTTATAGCAACCCAATAATATAGGTGCTACTATCAGCTCCATTTCAAGATGAAGGAACTTGAAGAAACTGAGGCACAGAGAAGTGAAGTAGCTTGCTCACGTCCTCATAGGTAAAAAGTAGAAAGGCTGGGATGCAAGTATCGGTTCAAGGATAGAGTGCCTATACTCTCATCCACTACATTCGAGGACCTTCCTGTCTTCCCCTTCTCTTTCTGTCTTATTTCTACTCTCTCTTCATAACTGTTATTTCTCATCTCTTTCTTCACCTCCAAACCTGGCCTCTGTGACCTCAGACAAGTTCTTTAACCCCTTTGCATCTCATCTGTACCATTTCCTTATCTGCAAAATGGGGATGATAATAGTACACATTTCATAGGGTTCTTGGGAGGGTTTAATGGGATATACAAAGTGCTCAGAACCCCAAATGACACCTAGGGCTCATTAAGTGAAGGCCACTCTTGTCATTAGGGCACAGATGCTTCCTCATCCCATGTTTTGCTCCCTCCCCGGCTCTCTGGTTAGCCTATACCCCATACTTTCCCCATAACATGTACAGCAGAACTAAATACTTTTAGTTATTTATGTTTGTACTTGACTTCTTCTTTTCCTATCTAATGGTTCAGCCAGATCTTAATGTTGGCCTATTTTTTTCTTTTTTAACCTCTTTCTTATCTTGACTGTCCATCTGCCCATTCCAGAATGCAGCCGCCTCCATACTTCTCCTTTTCCCACTGGTTCAGACTTGCCTGAGCCACCTCCACAAGGCTACTATTAGCAAAACTCTGCCTCTCCCCACGGGGGTCTGCTCTCAGCTATTCACAGAAATGTAGAGCCTTATATAACACTCGTTATTCATTTGTATTCTGTGTCTGAATTTATATCTTCATATAGATTTGCCAAGTGCTGAAAGAATTTGCAGTGAGCCCCTCACAGCTGGTCTCTGCATCCCATTCCCTGCTCGGCTTCTTCCTGACACCTTCTTCTCACCCCACCAGGTCAGCATCACCTCTCAGACAGACAGACAGACAGACGGAGGACTGGCAGACCATCCTTTCTCTCTCTGTCAGCTAACTTTCTGACTTAAACTGTCCCAGAGTAAAGTCATAAAGTAAAACACATCCAGAAGCAGGCAGGGAGACGTGTGGCCGTGTGCAGAGGATGGGCACGTTCATGCCTTGTACCAGTGGTGGGGACTATGACCAATGGGAATAAGGTCAGGGATTCGCAGCTGAGCCCCAGGGCTGCCATGAGGCTCCGTGGTTTTGAGGCCATGACTAGCCCAGTGTTGCCAGGTTTTCAGTTTTCAGGAGAAACTAGAAAATTGGATTTTGTAAAGAATCTAGCATATGCTAGAAAGGAACATATGACAGGTGGAATCCTTCTATGGTTGAGGCACTGTAGTTAGTGCTGTATATATGTTCTCTGACTAAATCCTTAAAATAACCTGAAGAGATTAAAAACCGAGGATTAGGGAGGTTATCTGACTTGTCCAAAGTCACACAGCTAGTAAGGGTCAAAGCAGGAATTTGGGCCTAAATGCTGCCTCTATTTTATTTAAAAGTTTCTCTTTTCCCTCTCCTGCTGGGCTACAAATTAGATCAAGATGGAAATGAAGGTGGTTTTACAACATATTTATACACTATAGGTTTTATCACCTGTAGGCATTTAGAAACAAGTCATTTCTTCAAAAGCTGCAGTAAAATTATGGTGACAAAAGGCCTTACATGCCCTTCTTAGAGGGGAAAAGCTTTGGGTTTAACGGTTAGTGGTGCTGGAGAACAGGGCGCAGAGGAGGAAAGCATGTCAGAGGCCACACTGTCCTGGCCTGTCCCCCTTCCCCCTGCATCTGGCTTTCCACTTGGACTGGGAAGCCTGCAGGATTTAGGTTACCTCATCCTCAAGGTCTTTGGGTTTGGGTGGGACTTGAGGTTTCTGAAGAGAAGTCAGGGCCGGCAGAGTGGAGGTTAGCCTTGCCTTTGCCGAAGGAGGCCAGTCGGGCTTACTGGGAAGTGTCTTGCTGAAGGGCGGAGTTTGCCTCTGGCTTGATCGATTGTCTTGAAAAGAAAAACAACAAAAGCCTAAGATGAGAGGGGCTCTGGATCATTCCCTGGACCTAAGTGTAAAACCACCGGCATCTACATAGTCACAAACAATGAATCCAGCAGTCCTTAAAAGCGTAAAATGACATGTTAGGCAAAAAATTTCAACTGCCTGTCACTTACATTACGCTCTTCCCAAGAATAACAGAGGCGGACTCAGGAGAGCCGACAGCCCAGCACTCCGCCAAACAGAGTAGATGGATGACCTGGGCAGCAGGAAGGCCTGAGAAGGGTGTGTTCCTCAAAGGTTCACTTTGCTCTACGAACCCTTAAGGGTAGTGACTCTCAATCCTCCTTACAAGGAAAAACCACCTGGGGAACTTTAAGAAAATGCTAAGGCCCAGGCCCCACCTCAGACATACTGGCTGGAACTTGTGAGGAAGGTCTTGGCGTTAGTAGGTTTCAAAAGTCTCCCAGGTTCTTTTTCTTTTTTTTTTTCTTAAGATTTTTTTTTTTTTTTATGTTTACTTATTTTTAAGAGAGAGAGAGAGAGAGAGAAAGAGAGAATGAAGGGGGGGTACACAGAATCTGAAGCAGGCTCCAGGCTCTGAGCTGTCAGCACAGAGCCCAATGTGGGGCTCGAACTCACAAACCAGGAGATCATGACCTGAGCTGAAGTTGGACGCTTAGCCGGCTAAGCCACTCTGGTGCCCCCTCCCAGGTTATTCTAAGGTGTTTCAGCATTGTGACTACTATTCTGAACTAACCCAAACATTCTTCCTCTCAATGATTTTTCTTCAATCACAGAGGGCCCCTGAGTTACCCCTTGTCAGGAACTGTCCTCAGCACGTGTCAGGGAAGGAACACAAGGCCAAGGCCAAATGGCCCTGAGTTGGGTCCTCTGCTCTCACTCACTGCTTAAAAGACTGAGCCACTCAGGTGCCCCCACATTCCTCAGTTGGAAAGTGAGGATCATAGTATCCACTTGAGAGTGGGGAGGGCTACTGTAGGGACTGGGAAGAAAGCAGTGTGACAGTGTCTGGCAGAGTGCATGTCTAATCAATAGGACTAATATGCCGATGTGACATGACCCAGGCGTTAGGCAGCAGGGAGTCTGCCCAGTGGAATCTGTTGCAGACTGATACATTGTAGGAAAAGCTTAGCACAGGAGGAACCTGGTGTGTTCCCATCTTGGGAGCAGCCCAGGCGCTCACACTGGCATCTGCCGCACCTTTAGCTTCATGCGGCTTCCCCCTCCCCGCTGAGCCCGCCTGCTCTCCCCCGGTGCCTCCTCCTGGCCCGTGCTGAAGGTGTGCAGTTCACTTCACACTGGATGCCTCCTTGGAGCCTCCTTCTGGGCCGTGTAGCTGTGCTCGGGCTCCAGGGCATCCGCTTTGCTGTGCCTACAACTCTCAGCTTTTCTGGTTTCATTTGCAGCTCTTAGAGTTTATTGGGATTTCTTAATGTAAGATTTAAGCCCATCAGAAGTAGCAAAATACACAAGACAGGCTTCCAAGAGCGTGGCCATGAGTGAGCCGCTGCGCCCCCTGCCTTAACCACAGTTTGCTGGCCTCTAACACGAGCCTACACAGCCCCTTCCTTCCCAGGTTCTGCTACTTGAACAAGGTCCCAAACCTGGTGAGCCTGGGCTGTGGGGGCTGAGAAGCCCAGGGTGCGTCCCAGCGCTGCCACTTCCAAAAGCTGGGCCCAGTTAATTCGCTCCTCGAACCTCACTTTCTTCCTTTGTAAAGTGAGGATGGATATGTCTTCCATACGATTCTCGAGATGGTGAAGTAGGCTGTGACTATGAAGCACTACACTGAGAGCTACAAACACTCTTGGAGTCTGTCTTGCTTGCTGTTGAAAGCTCTGTGCTCAGCACAGCTGTGGCACATAGTAGGTGCTCAACAGGTTAGCTGTGGCATGGAGCAAGGGGCAATGATCGGTGCCCCGTGAGGAGGCCGTTAATGGCAGTGATAATGCCAGAGTCCTTTACATGTAAGGGCTCTCTGCACAGATGCTAGCATCGCTGTGATCATCACAGACACACTCTCCTCCTCGGGGACTTAGTCACCTGCAACAGGCTTCTTCTTGAGGGACACAGTCAGGTCTGGAGACCACAGCTGAGCTGTGCCCATTTAACTTACAGCTATTCCAGGCTTAGAGATCCTCACCCCCACCTCTACTCCCAGCTGAAAATCCAGAGTGTGAGCTGCTTGTGTAGGGGTGGGCCTGAAGGAAGGGGGGGGGCATTAGCAGATACTGGGATCCTTGAAGATTCTCTTTGTTCTGCACAGGTGTCTCAAAAGAAATTCCAGAACTCTGTGTACAGGAAACCCCAAAAGAAGCAGGGACTAATCTCAGGGCTGGTTCCTCATGGGACTATCTGGAGTTGAGGTGGAGTACGGTGGGGTGGGGGCAACCATCAGGGTGCGGGCCTTTTATCCTTTGTCTGTTTTCAACCCTCAAGATTTAGGAAGGATACCTTTTCCCCTTGCCCGGACAAGCTTTCCGTCTGGGGCTCCGTGGCTTGTGACTGAGCAGGTGACCAGCGTGGAGGTGGCGAAAGTGGGAGGCATCCTGCTAGCCGTGCTCGCCTCCTTCCCCCCCTGCCCAGCAGGATGGGCGCCCAGGGTCTGGGGGGGCTGCCTCACCTACGTACTCGCCCCTGGCGAAGGGCAGGGCTGGGTGAACGGTTCTCGTCTCCTGCTCCGCGGGCGGCGGCTCGTAACTGTCGTCCCCGGTCTCTTCTGCGGGGAGCACGTACATCTCTGAGTCCGAGTGCTCGTCCGGGTGTTCATAGTCGCTGTCCTGCAAGTGCAGATGGCATGCTCAGTGCCGCGTCTGTGCTCGGTCAGGCAGCTCCGGCGTTAGGAGGCGGGAGCTGCTCCCCCAGCGCAGGGACCAGAGAGCAAGGCTTGGAAGGGTTGGCTAAGCGAGGTTGGGCAGCCATCAGAGGCAAAGCTGGGGTTGAAGCTGGGCCTTTCTGCCTCCAGAATTTATCACCTGAACCACTATCCTGGGGGAGCATGTGGACCATTTAACAGGAAGGGTGGCTGAAACTCTGTGTGTCTGCAAAGAAGAACAGTCGGAGAAAAAAATACATCTTTAGAAGACAGAAAAAGGATGCAATAAAATAGAATACCCAATAGGTTTTGTTTACCACGAATGCTGATGGTTGAGGAAAAAGATTAATATGGAGAGGGGATGGGGTTGCACAGAACATACAGATACCTTTGAGGAGATGAGGTTTGTTTGTTTGCTTTTTAACAGAGCTGATAAGCTACAGGGGCTAGGCTTCAACCTGACCCAGAGTCCATTCTCTTCCTTTTTGTTTTTCTTGTAAAGATACATTTTAGTTACGCCTCTATTGAAAAGATCGAATATTGAATATTCAATGTGTATGGAAAATACATCGACACAGTAATGATTCAAAAGGATGTCAGGTCTCCTTCCCAGGCTCTCAGTTCTTCTCTCCAGAGGTGCAGTTCCTAGGTTTTTGTGCATCTTGTTCAGAGATCACTTAGGTATACTCCACACGTAAGTATATTCCCGTGCAGGAAATATTTGATCCAGGACTTAAGAGGTCATCTGCCCACGCCACCCGACACACCGCACGATTCATACATGAGCTTCCAGTGGATGCATGGTGCAACTGCCTTTCGGCCTGCCTCTTTCCACCTGCAATCGTACAACACGGGCGCAGGTACAGTGCGATGCAAACACAGTGGTTCCTTCCTTGCTGTCTCCTCAGGGCCTGTAGCAGGGGCCAGCGCAAGACAGGGGCACAGTATGTTTGCAACGAATGGATGAGGGAGTGAGTGAGGACTGCTCTCCTCCTCAGTCTCTAGGGAGATGGGGGAGAGAACAGGAGAGGAAGATGGTGAATAGCAGGAGAGGGAGAGAGAAACGTGGCTGAAAAGAGAGCTTTTCCTGAGCTGGTGGAGGAGAACTGGGAGAGAACAGAAGGAAGGAGGAATTCAAGGAGGATACTTGTCCTTACCCTAAAGGGAAGAGTCGGGAAGGGACAGGGAGGGGTGAGGAAAGAGAAGTCTTGCAGGGGAATTTTCCCAAACCCCTATCTCCATAACAGCAGACAAGGAGGTTTGATAAACCTTCCTGACTGTGAATATGAAATTAGGCTGAATAGAATAATGGGAATGATAATGATCTTTTTAACATTTCTATGCACTGTATACCTCAGGTACCCCTTACCGTTATCATATGAGATGGGTTTTTTTTCATATGAGAGTTTTTTTAATCCCATTTTACAATGGAGAAACTGAGGCGTGAGGAGTTGGGTAATTTGGGGCTGTGATCTGTGTTCTGAAGAAGCCATGGCTGTTGTCAAACAGGTGGCCTGGGAGGTGGTGTGGGAGCGAAAGGGCAGCCCCCGGGCAAAAGCCTGGCTCTGAAAGTCTCATCTAGCCAGCCTGGAGTGGTTGGGACCCTCCTCATCCTGGCCAGAGAAAGGGCCTATCTCTGGGTTGCAGCAGCGCAGGGAGACAGCAGTGAATGTGCTAAGAACCGGGTGCTTTAATAACCATCTGAAAGTGAAAGAATCCGTAGGCGCCCAGATGCCTGTGCCTGGGAGGGGGAGATAGTTCCGGCGGCCCACTTTGTCTCAGTTCATAGAGCAGGCATGGGGCTTCCCAGACTTGGCCACCTGGAGGCTGGGGGCGGGGGGCAGGGTGCATCCTGGGAGAGGACACAGAGCTCTTCACAGCCCCTTGGGCAGAGCAGCCTGACTGAGAGGACCAGGCTGGCTGAAGAGGCAGAGAGGATATAGGAAGGGCGCCCCCACGTCAGCTGCTCCTTGCTGCCCATCAGACTATAAGCCTCATGAGGACTGGGCTGTGACCTCAGGGTCCTGAGACTGAGAACAATGGGAAGGAGAGGTTCTACCTTGGGGACCGGAAAGGCCTTCCTGAGAAGGAGACATCTAAGCCAACCTTGAAGGACAAGAAGGAGCAGAGCAAGTGAGGAAGAATGGGGATGCTCTTTGGTTTCTCCTCTCTTCCTTCTTCCTTCGCCTGCCCAAGGTCCATGAATTTGAAATTGCTGAGTAGGCATGACCTTGACCTGTTGTAGGACTGAGGGCAGACTTGTGCTCCTGAGCCATAATGGACAAGGCTTTGTTGGGCAGGGTGGGGGTGGGGATGTGTGCTAGGAAGGCTGGACAGGTCCGCGGGGGCTGGATTTCATCTGGCCTGGAGGCTACAAGCCTGGATTTCATTCTGTGTACAATGAGAATCCAATAACGTCAAAATAATTGTGAGTGAATGTTTACTCAATCCTTATTACAGCTGGTATCTTAATGTTGGTCATTTGGCTTTGGGACCCAAGTCATGCCCTTCTCTCCAGACTGACTTTATTTGTATTTTCTAAGTCCCTACCATGTGCTCTTTTTATCCAGCCTGCGAGCTCACTTGTCTTGGCTTCCCTGTGGTTGTGGACCAGCTCTCAACTTTGCTTCCGACGGGGCTGGGCGCGTGGGGCCAGCAGGGGGCGCAGCTGCAGCGCTTCTGAGGGACCAGAGGGACCCTGGGAGGAACACCACAGCCAGCTGACCGGCAGAGAGCCCATGTCATCCCCTCTTTTTACAACTCTTCTCTCTGCAGTTGAGAAGGGACATACTCCTGTCTTATGATACGTTGAATAAACCCCAGGTGGTGTACACGGTGTGTAGCTGGGCTGAAGCTCAGTTCTGGGCACTGGACTGGGGTCCTGGACTCTCATTCCACTGGGCCACTAAGTGACTGAATTTCAGTGTGCAGGTCCTTTTCCTTCTCTTAGCCTTGGCTTCCTTATCTGTAAAATGGGTGTGTGGTTGTGTGGAGGTCCTCTTGGATCCTGTCCAGATAAAACACACGTAGAGTGGAGCAGGCTAACATTCTGGATGAATTTGATACGAATGAGGAATAATTGTTACAAAAAAGTTTTTAGGATGTCTTGTCCCTACAAGACTTCACCCAAGAGAGCAGTGACTACTGGGGCCCTGTGGGCTACAGAGCCACCTTGGAGAGGTTGACAGTTAACTCTGACACATCACCTTCCGTGTCACCGTGGCCAGGTCCCCTTGCTCAGTCTATGGCCCCCAGCATCTGCTACTGTCCTCTTGGTCACTGCAAGCAGCTTAGAGTTTAAAAGCCAGGCTTTGAGATCTGAGGGCTTGGGTTTGAATTTTGGAACTGCAAGTTACTTAAACTCTCCATGTCTTGGTTTCTTTACCTGTAAAATGAGCAGGGCTGATATTCACAATGTTTGACAGCTAGCATGGCTCAGGTCCTGATTTGGCCCTAAAGAGTGTCCCAGAGGCCTCATAATGTGCCAGGCATTCGCTCTTTGACGTTGGTTTTTTTGGGGCTCCTGGCTAAGGCCCAGGCAGCAGAGGAGACACCGAGGAATTCAGGACAGAGGCATTTGTCAACTGATAAGGAAATATTTAAAAACATTTTAACATTTGTTTTGGCTGGGCTGCTGAGTACTCTGAATACCAGCACTGAAGACAGGGTAAGAATGCCTGCACACAGGGCCGTGGGGAGGGTACACGAGATGATGCCGATGAAGCGCTTAGCCTGGCACATGGGGTGCGGATCACGTAAGCCATCATGAGGTTCGTGCTGCCTTGTCTGTAGGTGGCCTTTCCTGCCCAGCCATCTCCCTGCTGGGATGTACAGCTGACCACAAGCATGTAATTCAGAAACAAGCCCTTCAAAAGGCCTCTCACGGACCCTGGTGGAAAGGACAGTCTTCTCGTCCCAGGAGCAAATACTTACAAAGTCATCTGACCACTGCTCCTCTTCGTCAGCAAGGTTCTCTGCAAAGGCATGTGGGAAGCAGAAGGCACAAGTGTAAATCTCAGCTGGCCAGCTCCACCCTGTCCCCAAGCACCCTGCGCCCCCCTTCTTTGCCCTCGGGTGTCCTGGTCCTGTTAACTTGGCCTTGAACAGTTATTACACATATCTCGTGTTCATCCACTTTCGATTCCTCTTTTTTGAAAAAAAAAAAAAAATCGATTCTCAAAGCATAAAGGGATGTTCCACTGAGGCAGAGAAATGGTACATCTGAACCATGTCTGGTTTTGTCAAGGAACATTTTTGGGATTTCAGAATAACCCAGGAGGCACCTGCAATCCATACCATACTGCTTTTAAGGATTTCTTTGAATCAATATATGGATGGTATAGTAGGAAGAACACTGGACAGGGAATCAGATAGACCAAAACTCTCATGCAGGCTCTGTTCCTAACTAGTTGGAGGGTGGGCAAGACAACTAACATCTCTGGGCCTCAGCTTTAAGATCTATGGGCTCACTTCTGTGATTCTCTGTAGCTCTAACTTTGACTTTCTTATTGAAAAGCATTGATCCAGTGCTCTACTACATGCCGGGCAATATTATCAGAGTTTTGCAATCAGTTAGCTCTCTCAGAACCTTACAAAGAAACTGAGGCCTAGAGAAACTAAGTCATTTGTCCAAAGTCAGATAGTAAATCATAGAGCCAGGACTTGAACCCCATAAGCAGACTTCCAAGTGCATGCTCTGAACTCCGATGTCACACTGCTTCACTGTCTTTGAGCCCCAGGGTTCAAGCACTGTTCTTGGCTCCGCAGGCAGTATAAAAATGGATATCACAGGTCTCAAGTGGCTGAGGATCTGAAGAATAAAACTGATCTGAATTATGACAGCCAAGGAGAATATTTGACCCCTTTTTCTCCAAAACACATTTAGAGTATGAGAAGCTTAGCATTCATCCCATCACATAGGCTAAGCTGACATTGGAGGTTAAATACAATTTATTCAGCTACGTAGGAGATCAACCAGGCACAAGTCCAGATGGCAGAGTGGCTCCAGTGACTATCTCATAGAGGCTCCCAGCTCTCCTCTCATCCCACCCAGCAGCCACCTCTTGAGGGCCCAGAGGGTGGTCCCTGAATCCCCCAGAGCCTCTATAGACCCTTTTCTTGCCATTTCTAGCCTCTGCTATGGCAAGCCACTGACTCCAGCTCTAGGTGGACTCCCAAGAGGCACAAGGAAAGGAATTGCCGATTGAAAATGGGGGCCCTGAAGGAGGTATTTAGAGCAGAGTGGCCAGATTTTAAACTATGGCAGCAAGAGCACCCTCTCCTGGGAAAAACATGATAGGCACTAAGGCAGAGATTTATTCTAGGAGTCAAATAATGGGTCAAACTTTGACATGAACAGAAGACAACTTTTTAATTAAATTATGATTTGTGCTAATGTATACCAAATTAGAGTATATTGCAACCACTGGAGCTTTCCAAGAAACTTAAGAAGAGATGAATAAGTCTTCTTCCTAATATGCCTGACACAATATTACCTGGCATGGAGGGGGAGTAAGTTTCTAATACCTTAAGTTTGGGGATAATTGAAGATCAGCACTTAAGGGGGCCACGATGTTTTTGTTTCAACCTTTAAAATAGAAACCTTAATAAGACAACTTTATAAAGCACACTTCCCTGCCTTGATCAGCTGTGTTTCCCGTACCTTTTCTCAGGGAGCCAGGGTCCCCTTCATGGTCAGACACTGCTCAAAGTACTCACAGCAGCTGTCTAACTCCTTTTCCTGTCTCCATTATCTTCCTCTCCAACACATACTTTGTACTGTTTCTAGTTATTTTCTTAAAATAAAGTTTGGATCATGCTGCTCCTTTCCTCAAGAATCATCAATGGCTCCCTATGGAGTGAAGTCAAGGCTCTGTGTCAAGACATCAAATGCCTCCATCTCCTGTCCCTCCCTAGACGTCTCTTGCAGAGCCTTCCACGTTCACTCACAGTGATACTGGAAGCATGTTCCTCCTGGCTCATGCTAATCCCCCAGTCCCTGTTCCCGGGAAATCCCTGTCATACCTCTGCCATACAATCTCCCCCAGTCCCTTAGCTTATAAACCACCACTCCTTCCTCTGGGCCCTCTTAGTTGCTGCTAGCACTTTGACAACACAGGTACCGAGTTCTGCCCATGCTAGGATTCATTTGCTCGTGTCTCTCTGTACTGAAAAGCAAGGCCTATTTAATTCGTTCTTTGTATCTGGATGACATTTGGCATTTGTAATCCTATGCAGTAATAAAAGTATAAACCAATAAATGAGTTGAATGAATGAAAATCACAATAATAATAATAGATTCCATTTATCGAACACTTCCTCTGTGCCCAGTGCTAGGATAAGTGTACTTTCTCAATTATCTTCAAAATAGAGCTTTGTCATAGGTGTCATTAGGATCTCACTTTTGCAGTCGAGGAAATGGGGGCTAACAGAGGCTGAAAAACCTGTCTGAGGCCACATGGCTGGTGAATGTGGGTGATGGACTGGAGGCCAGGGTACCTGTGTTGGCTCCTGCAGCCGAAATCTCATGTAAATTGCCTAGCCCTCTACTGAGGCTTCAGATAAAACCTAGGAGAAACAGGAATGGCCCATTGCAGGTATCATGGGGCACTGAGGCAGAAAAGAGAGAGAAGCATCATCATGTGCCAGAGGTTACCTGATGGTGCCCCGCCCTCCCCCAGCTCCACCCATCTTCTGGTCCTACAAGGCGGCTTGCAACATCCTACTCAAAGCCACCGCAGTCCATGCTATTTCCCAGACTAAAAAGCATGAGAGTCCGAAGAACAAGGTCCAAAGTACTGGGTGGTTGTTCACAATCTCTACGAGCTTTCTAATGTGGTTGGTTGTGGTTTTAGAACCAGGCTCCCTGGCTCCAAATCCTGGCTCTGCTCTTTACTACCTGCTTGGCAGTGGACCAGTACTTTGTTAAAAGCTTAATTTCTAACCAGTGCAACAAGGGTAGGAATCGTGCCTGCCTCATGTTTTTATGAGAATCAAGTAATTAATATATATGAAGTGCTTCAGGAAGCCTGGCATACAGTAAATGCTGTATTCATGTTACTTATTGTTTTCTCTGGTATTGATAATGTCTTAATAAATCCTCAAAACAAAACCAATTCTGTTTCACTCTAATGGCAACCACATAGTATAGTTACCATAAAGAAATGGACCCCAGAAAGCCTCAAGTATAAAGGATGATGTTTTCAGGAGGGAAAGCTCAAGTGTAATATGGGCCGGGTGATTTATCTTGAGATGTAAGTTTGCATGCCCCTGGCAGGAAGCTGAGATGCTGATTGGGCTTCCTTATTAGGGAAAGCCTTTTCTATTGTGTTGTGTAGCTGGTTTCGGGCTTATGTTCCATTTACGGTGTCACAATCCCATGCCACACAATAGAGGGACTCCTCCCCTTGCCTGGCCCAGGCTCTGTGATTCACATGCCCCACCCCACATGGGCACTGCACTATGTGACATGTGAGAATGCCATGATGACCCTACCTCAGTGTGCACTCTGGGGTTTTGAGCTTGGGCTCTAGGGTCAGGCTGTCCTGATCAAAATTTTGATTCTGCCATTTGCTAGCAGTGTGAACAGGCAAGTTGCTTAACCTTTGGGTATTGGTTTTCTCATCACTGAAATGAACATGATTAGAAGTGCCTATATTATGGGACTTTGAGAGAATGCAATAGTCCGGGGAAAGTGCACAGAAGGCTGCCTGATAGGAGTAAGGGCTCAATGGGCCCTATGTGTTACTATCAATCTACTTTAATGACCATAATAACCTGAAGGATGGGCCAGCACTCTCATCTCCAAGCAAGAAATTGAGGCTCAGGGAAGTTTTAAACTGTTCTAGGTTCACAGTGTTTAGGGGCCAAAACCAGGATTCTAACCCAGGACTAAAGGACCCAAAAGTCCAAGATCTTCTCACTGAGCCATAGTAATAGACGGAGTCTAGAAGAACAGCCATGTATCACACTGCTGACAACCCAGGGCACTGTAAGCTTTCCTGACAAATGTCCCAGTACACTGGAATCATGGCAAGGTGCTGGGAAAGTTCCGAGAAGGGTGCGCTCAGCAAGGGCTGAGAGGTTGCATGAGGCTGTGTGGTGGCAGTGGGATTGAACTGGGCCTTGAAGGACACGTGGGACTTGAGTGAGAGAATGAAGATGAAGGGGGGCATCTCCTTCCATCCCTCAAGGCTGGGGGGCCTGTGTGTCAGCCCCAGAAGCAGGGCTTAGCTGACTGCTGGAAGGGGCATCCATAAGGCACAGAGGTGTCTGGAATGAACGAGCTGCACTGGAGATTCAGGGGAGAAAACAAAACCAGGTTCATCACCGGCCAAGAGGGCCACAGAAGCCAATGTAGTTCCCAGTGACAAGCTGGAGGCGGGGAGGCTGACAAGGTTGGTATGTGAGCAGCTCAGGCGTGAAGAGGAGGTTGAACCAGCCTGGGGGGTCCTGGGAATGGGAAAGGATGGCTGGAAGGAAGGCGAGGGACTCTGTGGCAAGAGCTTGAGTGAAGAAGGTGAAGGCAGGGGTGTGAATTGGGCCTTTCTATTCCAGGTCATCAGCAGCACCAGAGACCCTGAGCATTGAGAGACGCCCACTCCAAGCTGTGTGTCCGACACGTGCTCAGTTGTGGCCCTGATTCAGCTCTGGAGGCCATGCTCTGGGCCACTGGGCCTGCCGGCTTCTCCTCCTGCAGAGCCGGTGGTGAGATGCAGGGAACCAGTGGGAAGACCGCAGTGGCACGCAGGAAGGGAAGAGGGAAGGAGGCTGGACTAGATGTGGTGGTGGAGGCGGACACAGGGAAGGAACAGAAAGCAGAACTACAGAAGCTGTGGGGGAGGTGGCCAGTGGACAGACCAGTCCCACTGGATATACCCCAAGGGGAGAAAGGGATGTGACCATGTGGGGAATGGATTTGGGCTGGCTAGGAGAGGTGATTTGCATCTAAATACTTAACATCATAGAAAGTCCCTTTGTCTGAATATCCCGTCACCCTTCCCAGAGCCCTGTTAACAGGGGTGGGTGTGCAGAAATGGAGGGCTTTCCCAGCTTAGCCATCACCTGGCTGTAGGACCTCGGGTAGCCAGTTGGCCTGTCTGGGCTCCAGTTTTCCCTAACTGTGAGAAGCTAAGATTGGGTGGTCTTTCAGGGCTTTCCAGGCTTAAAATACTTTCAAGACCAAGTCTTATTCCTCTATTCTTAGTTCCATGAGGCAGGACTGATGGCGCACGAAGTTCTCCCCATGTCAGCCTTGCGGGTTCCACCAGTCAGAGTGTAGCCAGGGAGATGAAAAATCGAGTGAATGCTGGCTTCAATAAGAACAGCAGGGCAAGGGCAAAGCAGTGTTACATTTCCCTTCTTTGGTGGACAGAGGGTTGTTATGCACACCTGTGCTTCTGTGGTGGACATTTACCCAAGAATCTCTGTCTGACTACCTTCCTCTGTCCCGAGATCTTTCCCCTTTGCAGTTGCTCAGATCTCTCTGAATGACCTCAGTGGTGGGAGGAGAATGATTACAACAGCCCTTGGTATCAGGACCCGAGGGGAGGGGGAACGAGGTCTGGTTCAGTTCTGATCACTCAGGGGTTTGTGGAGTGCGACCTTAGGCAAATATCTGCCTGTTGCCTTTCTTATTTATTATCTCCTCCCCATGACTCATTACGCATTTTAAGGTCAGGAGCTATATTTTGTTCCCCACTCCATATCTACTAGCGTGAGCACACTTGTGTAATGTTTGTTGAATGAGTCAAAGAATGTGTGCAACAGCAAAGCACCTGGAGATACTGAGTCTGGAGAAGAAACCCTTCAAATGACCTAATTTCCTAATTCTATCCTTGATGTTGCGCAGAATCACTCTACTTCTCTTTTCTTTAATGTTTAAAGACTTGTGCTGTGTGGCGGTTAGGGCACACTTAGGATGCTTCTAGGAAATGGATTGTATCTGTGTCCTGATAGGGCTGTCTGCCCTTGACAGGACCAGATAGGCATGGGAGGTCATCACAGGAAACGTCCAAACAGAAGGTAGACCTCACTTGTGGTGCATGGTGGTGGGGCAGGAATAAGCACTGGACTGAATGTAAGCTGTAGGATTTCTGGGGCTCTTTTTAAACCTGAGATTCCATGATTCTGTAACTTTCCTACCAAAACTTGGGTTACTTGGCAGGCGTAGTCTGCTTTGTTTTCTTTTCTTGTTTAGAACTTGGGAGAGAAGAATGAATTTGTTCTCATTTGTTAACTAAGCAGCTCCCTTGGCTTTTGATCAGGTAGATTTTAAAGGACAGGACAGGATATGTATGTATCTGTATGTATGTATCACTCTGTGACCCAGTGAGATCTGGAAGGTGGTTCAACAGACGATTCATCAGACTTGGGTGACTTGGGTCCTACACACCCTCCACCTCAGATTAGATTAGATATTGCTGTAAGGACATTTATAAAAATTTATGCTTCCTCATCACCCTGAACTCTAATTGATTTTACATCATATATCTACTCTTCTTCACTATGAATTCTGTGAGTATGGAGACTAGATCTTTCTTGTTTAGCACTGTATCTCTACCTAAAACCTTCTATGTATCTGGCACATGGACAATACTTAATAAATCTCTGATAACGTGCATGGATGGATGGATGGATGGAGTACTACATCTCCACTACAGTCAAATGTTTAATAGATTTGGGTGTTAGGATGGGCACCTTTTATTTTCAAATGAGTAGAATATACTTCCCTTTTCAAGAATTAAATATGAACGTGAAATTAGTCAAGAGTCCAAATATCTTAGAAATGCTCTTACCTGAGGCATAGTCCCTTTGAGGAACACTTGGAGGTGCTTTGACTTTGAGCCTATAGATAAAAACCATCAGACAAATGGTCAGTGGGTAGGACACCTGTTGTCAAGGTCCATAATATAAGCAGATATAGAGATAACAGACAGATAACTAATAGAATAATGGCTTCTTTTGGACCCAACACATTGAAAGACTAATGTATTGTAAATGTAGTGAAGCCATTCATCAGAGGTCTCCTGCTTCCCTCATCTCCCCAGCATACAATGGGGCTGTGACTTGGCAAAGGTGAAACCAAGCGATGGAATATTCACAAGCACAGAGTTCAGAGCTTCAAGAAAGAAGATTGTTGACTGGTTGAGAAGATGGTAAGAGAAGATAATCTCTATTTTAATAAATAACTCAATGCAGGGTACCTGGGTGGCTCAGTCAGTTAAGCATCTGACTCTTGGTTTCTGCTCTGGTCATGATCTCACGGTTTTGTGAGTTCGAGCTCCACATCGAGCTCTGTGCTGGCAATGTGGAGCCTGCTTGGGATTCTCTCTTTCTGTTTCTCTCTGCCCTTCCCCGACTCTTGTTGCCTCTGTCGCTCTCAAAAATGAACTTAAAATAAATAAATATCTCATTTCTTTAAACACTAAGAAAAATATTACTTATAATGAGCACTTTGGTTGTAGGTTGGACTGAGATTGTTTTTGCACTATTAAAATAAATGCCAAATAAGAGCAGTGAGTGTCTCCAGGTTGGGGATGTGATATTTAGCTTATTTAGAAGTTGGACTGTTTCAAGCACTCTCAAAACTACTTTAGTATCTTTAGGCATATATAGAATGTTTGAATATTCACAATCCTTCCTTGCTCATTACAAGAAGAAACTTAAAATTACGTTTTAAAAATGTATCCCAATTTTTAAGCTTTTCATAAGTTATGACAATACCTCCCATTCTATTATTTGAAATGAGTAAGTTTTCTAATAAATTATTATTCTTAATAATAATTGCCCATTTTATTTAAGAATGATTTGCTTCACGAAGTTTAAAATATATATAAATAGAACCTATATCCAGTAGCCTTTATTTACTAAAGCACCACATCCTTTTACAGAGGCAGGATATAAGGTAACCATTACATGCAAAACATAGTTTATTTCTTGGGGGGAAAAAAGCAGTACGGAAATTCATGTTTAATCGAACATGTTTAATCAAAAAACGGAAATTCATGTTTAATCAAAAAATAAGCCTGACAAACCAGAATTGTAATGTTTCAAAAATAACAGTATTTATATTTGCATAGAAATTCTGCTTTTTGTCTGCCCCAAGGCTCTCAAATCAATTACTTAATTCAATTCCCATAGCAAGACAGGGTGTGCTGGGAAGATATTATCATTAGATGTATGATGAGGTCCAGAGACAGAGATTATCCGCAGTGTTATAGGGGGAAAAATAATAACCCTCAAAAACAAACAAGGAATGATACCACGTTTATTCTTGAATGAGGAAAATTTTGAAGAGAAGCCATTTCTCATTATTGCCATCGTTTCATGAAAGAAAAGGAAGGGTATTTTAGTATCCCCAAATGTATGAAGGTTATCATGTCCGAATAAAGGACAGACTCAGGAAAGGGCTGCTGGTCCCTGAACACCTACCAGGAATAAAAGCTGTGGTTTGAGCCTCACTTAGCAGCCGGCAGCTGCATGCCAACCCCCAACGCTTCAAGGTCCTTATTTTCTCATTTGGCCATGAACCAGTGACAACTCTGTCACGGTCTTGTGTTAGGAAACCAGTGTGTTCAACCGTGCTTCCTCCTTTCAAGGTAGCACCTGTTGCCTGGCAACGAGTAAGAGCTTAACTGCAGGTCCCTTAGAACCAAAGGGCCACTGACTTCACCCAGGGTGATGACTATGGCAGCCAGATTTTCCAAGCTGAAAAGAAACATAGTTTGTCAAGTACAAGTGCATTTGGGGAACAATGGGCATAAAAAAAATAGAAACTGTCTGAAAAAATGTGAGCTCCATGGTTACTGGAAGTATGACCGACCATGGACTAAGGAGACATTTTATACAGAGGCTTCATACTATGGAGAAAACTGGTGTATTATAAAACTAGCAGCTGTGGGATAATTAATCTAGAATTGCTAGTGATTAAAACAATGGCTCGCAGGGTTCTCTCATTTCAATGAGATTCTGTTTGTGTCAGAAATATTAAATGAAAACAATCGCATGCCTCTCCCTGCCACAGGGACAGAACATGGAGACAAGGTCTCCTCCTCTGGGAGATGACCAGTTCTGCACAAGCAGATCGTTTTAACAATTTTATGATAATCACTTATACGCATTGAGACTCTTTTACATTTTATAGTCTAAAAACACCATAGAACATGATTTCTTTTGAGTTTAGCAAAGACCACAAAGAATGAAGAAATTCTGTTCTTTTTATATGTATATATTTTTTTAATGTTTATTTATCTATTTTGAAAGAGAGAGAGCACAAACAGCGAAGGGGCAGGGAAAGAGGGAGACAGAGAGTCGCAAGCAGGCTCCTCACTGTCAGTACAGAGCTCAGTGTGGGGCATGAACACAGGAACCCCAAGATCACGACATGTGAAAGCTGAAATCAAGAGTCGGTCGTTTAACCAACCGAGGCACCCAGACGCCCCTGAACATACTCTGTTCTGAAGGTATAGGTAAATGGACTTTTATACACTATCAATGGTACAAAATTTTTGGAAAGCAAGTTGGTAATATCAACAAAAATGTCAGGGGCAAAAATTCTTCGATCTAGAAATTTCATTTCAGGAATTTAGCTTTCTTCTATACTCAAAGTCTACAAAAACTATTTATTGAAATGTTATTTATGGCAGTTAAACTGAAAGAAATGGCCACAAGATTTTGATTGATCTTACCAAATTGGCCTCCAAGAATATGCCTGTTTAAACTCCCACATCTCCTTCTCTTTAAAAAGTGTCCACCAGGGGCGCCTGGGTGGCTCAGTCAGTTAAGTGGCCAACTCTTGATCTTGGCTCAGGTCAGGATCTCACAGCTTGTGAGACTGAGCCCCATGTCAGGCTCTGTGCTAACAGCACAGAATCTGCTTGGGATTCTCTCTGTCCCTCTCTCTCTTCCCCTCCTCTGCTCATGTGTGTGTGCCCACTCTCTCTCTCTCTCACACACAAAATAAATAAATAAAACTTAAAAAAAAAGCATCCACCAATACACAGCTGGTTAAATGAATGATAATAGATTTATAGGAGACTATTAATCAGCTATTCAAAAAGGAATATGGTTTATTTTTACATACCAACAAAGATGTCCATGATATAGCATTAAGTAAAACCACTAAGCAAAGTCAAGTTGGTAGAATGGTTTATGAAGTATGGCACCATTCGTGATGAAAATGTATGTATATATAGGTAAGTGCTACATCTATGTCAACATGTGTATGTGCATGTGCAAACACATACATATAGATATCTATACCAAACTCACTCATGACAATGTCCATTTCCCGGGAATGGGCTGATGTGGGGTTACGGGGAAGTAGGAGATTTTGACTTTATGCAATTCTGAATTCTTTGATTTTTTTTTCTTTCCTGGTGAATCACTGCTACTTTCATTTTCTGAAAAAAAGAACTTAAACAAAAACTTAATGGAATACCATCTTCCCTTTCCTTTTAACTTAGATTTTGTGTGGCAAATATAGATATGCACAGTTTTTATTATCTTTAAAAAAAAAGCTTAAGAGTTTCTGATGTGCAGGAAGATTTGGAATTTTAGTTTCCTTCTCCAAATGCCAGCTGAAAATGCTATTTTGGTGTGCCTGGGTGACTCAATCAGTTGAGTGTCTGACTTAGGCTCAGGTCATGATCTCATGGTTCCTGGGTTCAAGCCCCACATCAGACTTTGCACTGACAGTATGGAGCCTGCTTGGGATTCTCTGTCTCCTTCTCTCTCTCTACCCCTCCCGTGATCATATTCTCTCTCTCTCTCTCTCAAAAATAAACATTAAAAAAATTTTAATTCCATTTTAAGGCTATCATTGAAAAGGCAAAAATTGAAACATGGAAAACAGGAATGGCATCCTAAAGACGCTCGGATGTGTTCTTGTAACTTCTCTTTTGGATTTCTCCATGTGTGTTCTTGTGGACCTTAACTAAGTAGTTAAAGAAGCTGATGTTCCTATTTCTAGAAAGGTCTTTGTTGACATTTGCCATCTTAAGTGGCATAGCTCACTTTTACTGCAGTGAGAGGGAAAAGCACCGCCATGGACTCTGGCCACAAGTTAGAAAAGGTTACATGCTAAAAAGTTTGCAACTCCTCACTCCGGTAACAGAGAACTTTGTCTCCTTCCACTTAGCGCAGGCTGGAATAATGTGTTGATTACATAAATGAGCACTTCTATAGTGCTCTGGAGTTTCACTTACTTTTTGATCTTGTTCATTATTCCACCTTCATTGTTCTTGATGTCATGGACCATCTTTTGAAGTTGCCTGCAAAAAATAAAATCAAACATAAAATATTAAAAGCTAGGTTGATTTAAAAAAAAAAGTCAAAAGGGAATACAAAAAGAGGGGGAAAACCCTATAATAAACCCCTAGTGAGAATTGTATCATATTTAATTGACCATCTGCTACTCAAATAAAGGCAAAGGGTGACTGATAATGGAAGGAATGTGGTCATTGGGCCATGCATGTCCCTGTCCCCTAGATGTCTGGGATCTGAAGAGAAATTCTGGTTTCCAGATGTATTCATTCTTAGGAGACATGGTAGGCAAAAGCCCTCTGATAAATCTCACTGTTCATCAACTTACTGCCCTTAGAGCATTCACATTGCCAGGATCGAGCTACCTTGAAGGACAGGTGGGCTGAAATCAGGCCCAAGATTTTTTTGGTTAACTTTACTAGGTTGAATCTGGAAAAACTGTCACCAGAAAGTTGTACATACAGAAAAGCCATAAAGAAAATGATTAATGAATCTGACTGGAAATTCTGTAGAACAAAAAGGAATATACACAAGAACAAAAGATGAATGACATACATGGAAGAAATATTTGCAACACAAGAATAATAAGGACTACATGTTTTGATTTACAAAGAAAGCTTATGACTCTATGACTCAGTAAAAAAAGATTAAAATTCAATAGGAAATGGGCAAAAGATGTGAACATATAGCTAACAGAAAAGAATGGGTGGCTAACAGACAACATGACTTATCTTTAAAGGAATTTGCATCTAAACAATGAGGAGATGCGTTCCGCTTATCAAATTGGCAAAACTTAATGTGATAATCCCCTGGGGGGAGGACCAGAATATGAATATTCTTGGGAATGCAAATTGGGATGATCAGTATCTGTTAAATTTTAAAACTTCCATGCCTTTTGACCCAGAAATTCTACTGCTAGGGATTTGCTGTCCTGAACATGGTCATAAAACTATACCACTGTGTACACATAAGCATTGTGTGTAATAACCCTAATCCTTCCTGCCTCCCCACTAAATAAAACCTGGAAACAACCTAAATGCCCATCAGTCATTAAAAGGGAACTAGTTATATAAACTTTGATAAAGCCATACGATGAATGCCATAGACCCTTAAAAAATAAAGAAAAAGAAAAAGAAGCACACATTTGTATTGCTGATGCATTGAAATCCCTAATACATATTAAGTTAAACAAATACAGTGAAAGAGAAAAAGAAAAAAGAAAGGAAGGGAAGTTCAGAATGTGTATTGCGTTTTTTTGTGTGATTGATTACAAAGGACACGTACATTCATATGTGCTGGTAGGTGCCTAACTTTTTAGAAAGATAGGCATGGAGTTATTCAAAGAATGTTTTCAAAGTCAATACAGTGTCCTCATACAAATTAGGAAGAGGTACTCTTTTTTCTGGGTAGACATTGCTTGGTGGCTTGGCACAGAGCTTGGCAAATAGTGAAGGACAGATCTCAACCTGTACCGTCATAGCTGGGTGCCTTTGTACCAATGGCAAAGTGAGGGCTGGCAGCTTGAGTAGGGGTGAGAGCTACTGCTTTATAAAAAGAAGACTTTCATGTTACAACGAAGGTTTTTCTGTATTATTTGAATGTTCACAGCTTGCGCACATAATCATTTTTATTACCTGTTTTATATACATATGTAGAGGAAAACGCTAAAAGTTGGAATCCTGGGCCATGGTTTTTTCTTCATAATAACTCTCTGACTTAAAAAAATATATATGTAAATATGTTATATGTATTTATATTTACATGTAAATATATCTAGTAAATATGTTCATATATTATGTGTAATACACATTTATAGATTATGTTGTATATGTAAGTAACAGTGTGTATAAATATATAAAATGTATATTTATTATTTCTATTTATGTATAAATGTAAATTATATATATAAAATGTCACACGGTTCTGGCCTGAAGGAGTAGGATAGTTCAATTCACCCTTCAGGCAAGCCTTTCTTTTGTTCTGAGGAAAGCTTTTAATTGGGCCCAATGTTAACAAAATGTAAATCTTGTCCATAGCCCTCATTGTTGGAGAAAATTGTGATTTCCTGCAAACCTGCACGCACATTTCTCTTGCTCTGGGAGCCCGGCCTTGCATTAGGTAATATGAACTGTGGTGCACAACTAAGCTTGGCAGAGGACCCCGAAACCCTGTTGACTTTGGGGGGTGGTGGAATCTGGAGAAATATAATCAGGCTCTGCACGGATTCAGGACACACAGGTTGCAAAGCTCTTCAGTGAGGGCGGAGGAGTTTAGAGCAGGGAGGAGGCTTGGTGGAGGGGCTCTGCCTTGCCCAGCCGATTGGCGTTGGCATCTGCCACTAAGTGTTAATTCAAGGCTAAGTGACCCATCTAGGCTGCTGTTCTACTGAGGTGCCCTTGGGCACTAAGGGGAGGGGTGAGATTTACCGGGTAGGGATAGACCCTCCTACCCTCAACCATTCTGGGAAAAAAAAAGTTCTCAAACAAGGAATGGGAACTCATCCTGGGGATCTTAGGGAGCTCCCTCCCCTTCTAGGTCTAATGATTGTAGGCGCTAATACTGAAGAGCCCAGACAAACCTGGGGGGTATTTGATGGTGGGGAGGAGAGGAGGGATCCAAGGGTAGATGGAGTGTTGGCTGGGACCCGAGGCTCACAAGCCATTTGCAACAAGATGATTCCTCTCCGTTGCCCTTGAGCGTCCAGTGGTTTCTCGTTCCAGCCGGGCCTCCGCTGGGCTGTGGGGAAGGGTGTGCTCCATGGCCTGAGGAGCGGAGTGCCCAGGGAACGCAGGCTGGAGCCTGGAGGAGCAGGGTAAGAGAAACTTCTTTCAGGCCATCCTTTAGGCTGCATCTTGGGGAATTGTCTTCTGAACTGGGGGACCCACTGAGGGATATGGAGAGGGGTCAGAGCCAAGCAGTCATTTGGGTAACAAGGGAAATGAGATCACATTTTATATCCCCGGTTAGGGAGGCTGTGTTCACAGATTCCACTCATATGACAACTCAGCAAAGCGCCAGGCTCAGCAGCAGAGAGGAGAGAATGGATGAGGGTGAAGGGGGACCACCTCCCACCAGAGACACAAAGAGGGTCCCTAGAGCTCGACCTTTGAGCTGCCTCAGAACTCTGCGGGATTCACCTGTGCCAACCACCACCACCCTGTCTCCTTTTCCTGCAGAACTACAGAGAATTTCCGAGACAGAGGAATGAGGGAAAGCGGGAGCTAAGAGGTCTGGGCACGAGAGAAGGGGAGACTAAGAGAGAGAAGTTGGAATGGTTTGATTGGGAAGCAATGTAATAATTTCCAGTGCAGAGCAGAGGGCAACTCCCGCCGTAAGCGATGTAACTGAACAGAATGCCTTTAGACTAAATTAAACCTTGACCAGGCCCAAGGACAAAATGAGCCAGAGCGAAGGATGCTCTCCAGAGTTTGCCAGCTGTGAGACACAGACAGAGTTAAGAGGGAGCCAGGGGCTGATTTGTATAAGCAGGTGTAGATAAACTTTGCTGCCAGTGTCGACAAACAGGTGGAAATTGTTGCAATAAAGTTTCGTGTAATTCTGTCATTTGCTCAACTTGGGTTTTGATACTTCTTGGCCTTTCCTAATTTATTTTCATTACAGATTATTAAAATAATTATAATTTAATATATAATTAGAGTACATGGTCGAATTGCTTCATAAACTATACATTTTGTGCTCAAAAGTTTTCCTCTCCCTCTGCCTCTCGTTCGCACGAATCTTGATGCTCACAGACTGCTCTGCTCAGTTTTCAGCAGCCAAGTTTCTGTTACCTGGAAAAACACAGCGTCTGCCAAACCAGGAAGATGTCGCGATGCTCTCATCTTGTTTTATCAACTATCCACACACTGCATGATGCACAGCTTTCCTGCACTCTGGGATCATCTGTTCCTCTTTGGGGCACTTCTTCCCCTTCTACTACAACATAAAGCACATGCAAAGGAATGTGCAGCTGCACTGTTCCCAGATTTAAATACCAGCTGTCTCACTGTGATAAGTTGCGTGTAGGTGAAAATAGGAAAAGAAAAAAAAGAAAAAAAGCTTCTCTTTGATGAGCCCTTTCAGCGATATCCTTCCACGGATCGGAAGGATAATAGGCTCACGATGTCCTAACCTTTAAAATTGTGATGAGACAGCCATGTACAGGTAACAAAATAAAATGAAGAATAAAGCTCATCTAATATATTTTTAAAAGATGTCAATAATGTCTTTTTTTTAAGTGCATTTATTTTGAGAGAGAGACAGAGAGAGTGGGGGGGAGGTGGGCAGGGAGAGGAGGCCGGATGATCTGAAGGGGGCCCCAACTCAGGCCTTGAACTCACCATCGCGGGGCTCATGACCTGAGGTGAAGTTGGGTGTTCAACTGACTGAGCCACTCAGGCACCCAATAATGTATTTTTTAAGTAGCGTGGTATTTCAGCATTTTACAATGGTGAGTAGATTATATAAATAATTATCATTATCATTACTCATATAAGCAAATCAAATTATACATTTTCTCCTTTGTCATTGATTTAAAATTTTTTCCCAAGTTTTTGAATTAATGTCAACAATCTTAGTTATTTAACAACACCCTGAAGTAGTGTGACCCAGGCTGAGCCTGGATCTCAAAAGATTTAGATCCCACAGTGTACTGAGTTGGAAAAAAAAAATCATTATTTGAAAGGTGGGCTCTGGAAACTGTGGACCCCACACCCAGAGTTTCTGATTTTGGAAGTTTGTAGTGGGTCAGATAATTTGCATTTCTAACAATTTCCTTGGTGCTGACTTTACTGATCAGGAGACCACCCTCTGCACACATCCCCTCCCCCACCATGGACCTTTTAGTTGTGTCTAAGTTAAGCAAATAGATTCTTGAGAAAAGTTCTCAAGAATCCAATGGTGAAGTTTCAGACAAATAAACTGAGTGGTCAGTTCAATAACCTAATTTGGGCGTGGGTTTTACTAGACTGTCCCTCTTTTGTGGAACTCTGGACTTTGTATGGATTTA